TATTTTATTCTGTGCAGTTTAATGAGTTAGAAAAAACATTGACTTGTGCTAGCTTTACATCCATATGTTGTCATGCTAATACAATGGTGCTAAGTACCCACAAAGTATACAATACAGTACAAGCTCTCAAATTCTGTTGGTGTGGAGTGAGTTGAGTTAGTGAAGTTTACGTGGACTCTGTGAAGCTAGCTAGTTAGCTAAAGACTGAACTTTTCAGCTGCTGTGGCCCTTGAAACCAATGAAACATGACGGTTGAAACACTACTGCTTATGTCCACAGAGGCCAGCAATATCAACACAGAATGAATGTTCCTTGTAGCTGCTTTAAATTCCATTACATTGCCCTGATGATGTCATTGTGATGTCATCAAGGTTACATCAGCTTGGTTACTACAGAACCTTTAACAGAAAGCCTGTGTTAGCAACTAGAGACGTAGAGTGTGACAGATGTGGGCATTTACCAGGAAGCAAAGGTTTGTCAGGTTGCATTATGGGAGATGTAGGATCCAGTGTTTCTGGAGTTTGACTAGGGACTAAAAGTCAGGATATATCAACCTCTACTGGACAGATTTGGATCATTCATTTTTAATCTGTCTTTCACAAGCGTCCCAACATTATATTGGTGGAGGTTCCCTTTAAACCTTGTCTCTGATTGGCTAGTTCTGCTCTCAGCATACATGTGATCATTCACATGATCCAATGAGCTGCTTTTAACAGCATTCTTAAGAGTAAATCTCACATCTTCCATATGATAAATGCAGGCTCAACTTCCCTTATTCCTCCTGCTTCTCCTCTTGTCCCATCACTTCCTCTCCCTATACCCTCTTCGTCCTATCCCTCCTGTCCTCTGGTCCTACTCTGCAGCTTCTCCTGCAACAACACACACTCTCTCCTCCTTCCCTGCCTCCCTCCCTCCCGTACAATCTCACCCTTGTTATTGAGTTTGTCCCACATCCTCCACTAACAAACGCACACTTTTGCTCTGTCTGCTTCCTTCTGGCTCATCTTGTAAATTATTCACTCCGACTCCTTTTCATCCTCCTCTGTTATCAGCCTGCACACTGATTTCCCCAGCCCAGCCTTTCTTTCATTCCTCTTCTGATTTTTCTATGTCCTTAGCTCCACAATGTCATTTCATTTCATCTCATGCAACCAGGTACACTTTTTAAATTTCTGTGTGCTCCTTTCCTCATTTCACTCCCCTTTCTAGCCCTGTCCCCAAATTCGTGTTCCTTTTTGTCTCTTTTCAGCTGTCCACCAGGATGGAAAATTAAATATCACAGGACATACAAGCCAACAGACACATCAGAAAACCAAACACAGCCAATATGATGTACACAAAGTCACTGAATGTAATGTAATGCTGTCTAAAGTAGAGCTCAGTTGCAAGGTTAGCAGGACAGCAGATAAAATCTATGGAATTAGGTTAAATATAAGTAAAAAGAAAACCAAATTGAGGCAGGAAAAGAAGTCTGCTGCTATTAGAGAAGGAAGAGAAAATGTATGAGGAGAATTTCTCAAACAATTTATAAAATGCAAATGCCAGCGTTATTCCTGTCATTTGCATGCAAACTAAAAAAAAAAAGTACAACAACAACATACTCTCAACAATGTCTACTAGAATTAGTTGACAAATAAATGAACATGTTAAAGTTAAGTATTTAATAAAATTAGTTGTTTAAGAAAGCAGCCTTCTGAGTACCTTTTCAGAGTCATATCGGTGCAAAAATCTATGCATAACCCACACAGGAAAAGGTATATTTTCATTCCAGCTTAAAAATGTACTATATCAGACGCTGTATTAGTAAGGTGAATTGTTCCCCTCTAAAATCGCTATCAGTCTCAAAAATTTCATGTAGCTCAGCTCTAGCTAAAAGTACAGATTTTTCAATAGTTCTGTGCTCCAATGCTACCATTATTCCAAAACATGCCTGCAGTCATTTAGGAGCCAAACTTCGTATGACCAACGTAAGAGACCTCCTGAGATCTCTGAAAGGCAAGCTTTTTTTTTTTTTTTGTCCAGTTTCGTTTGTTAAATTCAAAGTAATGGAGTATTTCCAGCTGATGAATGGCAGTGTTTCCATTTTCCAAACTAGCTTCCTCCACGATTACAAAACTCAATTCAAGGATATGATTGGATTGTTGGATTTCAAATCAGTAGGGGGTGACAACAAACATAATGTTGCTAACAAATAATCTTTTGACGGGGGCTAACTGTAATATTATTACTGAAATGTATTAGTAATTTGTTACACTACTAGTTACCTGGGAAAGTAATAAGTAATATATGATGCTGTTCAGCCCAACAAGATTGGGTAGACAAATTACAATAATAATCCAGAAAGGGTTTTTTATTTTTCAGTTCATAGAAGCATTCTGAGTATATTATAGAAACCTAAGTCATGTAATTTTATATCAGGTCCATACTGGGACACTGCTTCTGCTTCAGGCTTGTTCTGTACCACAGCGGAGTCCGTCGGGTGCTGTAAAGAACTGTTTCAGAAAGGTTCCCCATAGCACAACGATCACATTTTACATTTATTACACATTTATGATACTATAAAAATACCTTTTAATGAAGGTCTTTGCAGCACTATGTGTTAGAAATATTCTAAACTGAACCATGTTAAAGTGTCCTTTTAAATCACTGTAAAGAAATCATTATATTTACATCAATGCATCTCTTTCCTAACCTTCTTATCCTGATGTTTATAGACATCGTAGAGTATTTTATTTATAGTTCTGTAACAGTCAAGAAGCAACCCTTTGTATCTTAAAATTAAATGTAGAGCCAAGTCACTTCTATTGGATTTGTCTTCTTTTGCTAGGAGATGGGAACAGTTGAGTGTCACTGTCGGTTTGTGTTCCAAACAAGTTTGTTTGAGCAAGTATAGGTAACCTTTTAGATTTTGAAAGTATCCAATTATTTATTATTATTAAGTATCTAATTACCTGTTTAACAGAAATAAAGAAACAATGGCTTTAATTTTCAGGGCCACCTCCCTCAGTTCTCTCCATAGTTGAAAAGCCACACGCAAGTGTTGAATGTGGTTTGAAGCTCTTGCTTCATCCAACTTCTTTCTGTTTGTAGCCCTTTCTGCTTCTGCCTTCTTTATTTAAGCCGGTGAATGCAACAGATACCAGATTTTTTAATCAGTTTTCTCAGAGCATTTGATTTATTGATTGCTGCAGGGGTGTAAAGAGAATTTAATTACATATAACAAAAAATGCTTCTGAAATACATTACCCACCCTAGCTTTAAGCCACAAATTTAGTTAAGCTTGATTGTACTTCAGAATTTTCCCCGAACTGACATGTAAACTAACTCTAAGCTAATTAATTGTCACTGCTAACTGAAGCCACCTCTTCAGATCGTCCCCCCATCCCTTGGTAGTAGAAGGCATAGTCACGGTCACATTATCCGGTTTAAGGTGTGACAGCAGTGACCCAACGTCACACCCATAATTCATGAGGTGTCATGGGACTACGAATAATATGGATAAACCAATCTAAGCATCCAGCAGTCACTTATCAAATCTGGTAGCTTACAAACTGTACTGCGTTGAGATACGCTTCCTTCTTAAGAATACAGGACAACATTTGGAGTGGTCACAAAAGAGAGGTTAGGAGAGACAAGAAAGGACAGATCTTTGTGTTGAGAAATACTCACCAATATGCAGTATATTTTTGAAGGGTTGAACCAATATTGATATTTTTGGATTAAAGCAGCTAATAGCTTATAATATTCATTTGTGCTTTAAGAATTTGAATGTCAATTTAGAAGCATGTCTCAAAGGGCTTTAAGCTGCGCTCTGTGTTTCCCTCTGAATTATGTTTCGGTAGGAGTGGAAAATGCTTTGGAGGATTTGGACAGTTAAAGTTCCTTGCTCTGAAGCGCTGTTTAAGGAGCTTGGACAGCGTTCAGACCCCCGCTGAGAGAGACGAAGAGTGAGGGGAGTCAGGGAGCTGTAGAGGGAGATAATTTATTAACTGAAACCACATACATGCTTACTTGGCTTGGAGGAAGAAAAATAAACCCTAAATTAAGCTGGTACAAAGCTGAAAAGATATTTTAATCCAGCATAACACTGTAGCTTCAATAAAAGAGACCATCAGTTGGCAGTAAGAAGAGAGATATGGAGGTTTCTGTACACATTCTGCACTTAGTGAGCGTAAAAGAAGACATTTTTGTTCTTCATAACAATATGATCAGAAACTGATCATTATACGTTGCATGAAGAGAGGATTTTTTACAGTTTTGTATTTGGTTGCATCACAGTGTACGGGGGTGTCTTTTAAGATTACAATCTCGGTTTAGTTTAGAAAGGATAGTGCTTCTGGTTACAGTCACCAGTCAAGTCAGTGTTGTTTCACCGTGCAGGATGAGCAGAGTTTGTTTCTTTGCACTTACCTTAAATCTCAGTTTAACCTGGACGTACCAGCAGAATGTATGACATCACAGCTAGATTGGAGCAATCATGCATTTTACATGTTAACCTTCAGCACACATGCACTGAGAATGGACTTTACAGTAAAGTAGGAGACATTTGTGACCAGCACTTTTAAAAAATAAAATATGTAACACTTATTAAAATGTCTAAAAATGCTAGATCTATGTAAATATTTTGCTGACTTGTTCACTTACGTTATCCAATTTTTTCCAACAATGTTTAAATCCAGAGAATTGCTTGATTTTATTCCGGTAATGGTGCATTTCATGATACTTGCTTTGCCCTGGTTGCTATAACTTATGGCAGGGGTCTGAAAATGTCAGATGTATGTGGAAAACATGACCAGTGATTGGTGTTGTATTGCACTTGTGTTCTGTTTTAATGACACTGTAATCTTTCCCCAATAAAGGCTAATATGAGCCCTGTGTACTGGAAAACAGATATTATGGTCTAACTTTAGGGCATAGACACAAATCACATAATCATCATCCAATGACACTGAGCTGGTAATCCTTACGATGCTCCTTCCTCTGTCTGTCTGTTCGTCCAGAGGTTTAACTTTGTGTCTCTGCCCACCGACGTCCTTGAGATCGAGGTGAAGGATAAGTTTGCCAAGAGTCGGCCAATCATCAAGCGCTTCCTGGGGAAGCTCTCTGTCCCAGTCCAAAGGCTGCTGGAAAAACATGCCATCGGGTAAAACACACACCATACACAGTGCAGCGGGACTGCTTTTATCAGTCCCAACATTACTCTTGTGTTCGATGATTCAAGTCTGTTCAAGTTTCCCCACATACACAAGCCCACATGGACAGTGGATTAGACGAAGGATGTGGGTGGCTGTAGTCAGTTTAAACCTCATGCAACCATCTGATTTTAGCTGTGATATCATTAGCTATCTGTACAGCCAGCCTGCATTCCCTTTAGTGCAGGCTCTTACTTATCATATTAACTTCTGCCTTTGTGATTCTGACCATTCCTTCTTGTTTTCTACCCTACACACTCTTTTCTCTCTGTCTTTTGTCCGCAGGGATCGAGTAGTGAGTTACTCGCTGGGTCGCAGGTTGCCGACAGATCACGTCTGTGGCCAGCTGCAGTTCCGCTTTGAGTTGACCTCTTCCATTCACCCAGGTACATGAGGCATCAGGCCATTTAGCAGCGTGGACAGACATGTTATCAGTCCTGCTGTCTGCCCTTGGCCTTAAAGAAGTCTGTTCACATTTACACTGTTGATCTTTCTCTCAAGTTATTTGTCTCTCTATAGGAAACTCATGTTTATTCTGACCATTCACTATAAACAAGATAAGAAGCAGAGTGTGGTAGCAGGTTTCTCATTTTTCATTTGGTTCAGGTTCTTGCTACATTGCCCAGCAGCCGGTGTTTTGAATTTATGGATTGTGCTTTCACATGAATGATCCACAATTGTAAATGACTAATTTGCCCCCAAAATCAAGAAATTATGCACACACATAGGGATGTCGTGATCTGAATTCAAAGATCGATTTTTTAGCTGATTGGTATCACATATATTGAGTACAAACCGATTCTTTGTTTTGATAGGTACAAAAAGTTTTGAAATTGGTCCAGTAGATCACCTCAGTCGGCAGCCACAAAACAATCTGTAATGGCTGCAACGTAATCCTTGAGGGCAAAAGGGCCCGTCAAAGTACAGCCACTAAAAGTGCCTGTTATTTTAAATTACTCAAAATTTTGGTCTAAAAAACCTTGATCAGGACATCCCTAGTTAACAATTTAACATTTCTTTAAAAGTATCAACGATTATACAATAATTTTACAAGCAAAAACAGTACATCCAAGTATCACATCAAAAATGAAATAAATCTAAGCAACTCATTTGTTCATGGCCCCAAACTCAAAACAGACATCTACTCAATGTCAAGTTACTGAAGTAATTATTAATTCAAGAGGACAAATCTGTAGTTCATGCACATGGATTAGTAATTAATTATTAATATTCTTTTCTTAGATGATGAGGAGGTCTCTCTGGTTATAGAGGCAGCATGTCCTGAGGGGGAAACTGCAGCAAATGGCAACCACGTTGCTGATGCGCCTGATGATGACACACTAAGCGTGGGACCTGACATGCCTGACCTCCCCCTGGATGCCCCCCCTGACCCCGAGACCTCTGCGCCACCGGCCTCCACAGCGGAAGCCTCCATGGCGGAAGCCTCCATGGCGGAAGCCTCCGCAGTGGAAGGCCCCGCACCGGAGGAGGTCCAACCTGCAGAGAAGGAGGAGGCTGAGGCAATGCCAGAGGCGGATCAAGGAACTGTGATGGAGGAGGAGAGCACAGTGAGGGAGGAGCCCCCGTCGACAGAGCCCCGGGTGGAGCAGGAGGAGGCTGAACAGCAGGAGGGGAACAGTGGAACGGAGGGAGAGGAGGGAGGAAGGGAGGAGAGGCAGCAGGTGGAAGAAGAGGAGGAGCAGAGAGCAGAGTGTGCACCACAAGCTGAGGAGGAGGTGACAGTAGAAGAAAAAGAGATTGGGGAGGAAACGCAGCCAAAGCCAGACTCTGACAATCCTGTATCAGCAAACAATGAGGTTGCTACTGTGGAGGCCCCCACGGAGGGAAACATCACATCCCAGGAGGCCCCTGTAGAGCCACCCGTGGGGGCCCCCCAGGAGGTGACGGAGGCAGGAGAAAGAAGTTGCGGCCCCTGCACCTGCCAATCAATCTTCTCAAACTACAACTCCCAAGCCCCCTTACGCCGCAAAAACCGCCCCTGTTCCCTTCCAGTGTCAGAGCTGGAGACGGTAATCGCTTCGGCCTGCGGTGAACCGGAGACGCCCCGATCCCACTACATCCGGATCCACCACCTCCTCCACAGCCTGCCGTCGGCCCAACACAGAGCTCCCAGCCAGGAGGACGAGGAGGAGACCGGGGAGGGAGAGAACACAACTATCACTCAAGATACCACATCCACATCACCAACACTTAAAACCTCCAAAGAGGAGGAGGGGCAAGAGGATGAGGACGAGGAAGATACAACCCAGTCTCCCTCTCAGGTACCGCCAGATGAGGGCAGAGTAGCTAAAAACATTACTCAAACTACGTTTAAGTAAAAGCAGTGGAGGTTTGGACATGAGTCACAATTTTGATGACCTTAAATTTGATTAAATCGTACTCTTGTGACTTGTGTTTTCGCTTGAAATGAAATACTTAGCAAACCACATCCCCAAACCCATAGATGAATTTTTTTCTGAATACCATAATTATTAATCATTCGTTTTTTGGCATGAAAATGTATCTCATAATGACATAAGTTGTTATTCCAGAAAAACAGAGCAGATTTTCTTTACCATGTGAATGTTCCGTATGAATCAATTCATTTCTCTTAATTTTCTAAAACAACTAACATTAACACTATTCATTCCCAGCAAGTCGACGCCTGATGCCATTGTACAGAAATGATCTGTTTAAACAGACGAGCACTTTGATGTTCACCAAAAACGAGATGACAAATTGTCTTCTATATAAGATCCAGCACCGTACAGTATGACAAAGATATTGTGTTTTTTGAACATTAACCAGGTAAACCACAAATCTAAAAAAATACAAGGCTACAATTTCATAATGTTAAAATAGGATGCTAAAATTACATGTACAAACAAAAAAATTTAAAATGACGTGCAAATGGAGCAGGGTTATTGCACAAGGAACAAATTAGTTTTTACTCTTATTTCACTTCAACTGTGGTAAATCTACAGCCTGAGGGTTTCAAACTCTGATCAAACCTGCTGATCAAAGATAGCCATCGGGGTTCTGTGGGACACCTATCACCTTCCCAGCCACCAGCAATGTGGTTCAGGTGCTTTTTATCCCTTATGTTGAGGTTACCATATTAAGCAATCACAGAAAAAGTTAAAACAGATTCAGTTAAAGAGGGTCATTGTTCTTGGTGTGGACAGCCCTTAACTTACATAACAATGACTTGTTTCCACCTCTGGAACGTAGTATTTTCAAACACTTACTTGCAAGAGTGCAAGTACAAATGCATCTACTGGAAAAAAACTCTTCGATGTACAGTAACGTCAACGTCAGTATCCAGTTGAAACAGAGTAAAAGTTTCTTCTTCTTCTCTAGAATTCTAATTACCTTAGTGAACAAATGGGTAATGTCACAGAAATAAAATGATGCTTATGTTTTATGTTTCTGGTTTGGGAAAGCCACCAATGTTTGGCCAACTAGTATTTGCAGTCAAATGTTACTTACTGCTCTTTTGAACACATTTTTTTTTCTGTGCATTCCTTCAGGTCCCAGAGTGTCCAGGCCCCTGCTGCCGTCGCTCCCTACCCCGCAGCCTCTCCATTGAACGCCTCTCGGAGCTGAACCAGCTCCTGGAAGGTGAGAGAGTAGGAGGAGGACACTCAGTCAGGAGGATCTCCCCCTCCTGCCTGGAGAGCGAGGAGGGGGATTCCAGTAATGGAGGAGGTAGGAGACATGGCGGGAGCACTCACAGACCTCCAGGTGAGAACGAGTGTGAGTTTTGCGACACCTCCTGCTACAGCACCTCCTGCTACAGCACGTCATGCTACAGCACGTCATGCTACAGCAACTCGGGCTACGAAGGGAGGAACCGCTTCTGCAGCCACACCCGCCTCTCCTCGGTGGACAGCAACAGACTCTCTGGCAGCACAGTGTTCTCCTCGCAGGATGAAGAAGAAGATGAGGAGAGCGCCTTTGAGTCGGTACCTGATGCCGGCCAGACCCCGGAGGGCCAGGAGGTGGGCGGGGCAGGAGGAGAGAGAAGGACAGGGAGGTGGAAGGAAGCCAGGAGAGGAGAGCATGGGGAGCCGGCTGTGGCGGGGCCCAGCGATAGGAACAGCTTCGGTGAGATAAAACATGAGTTTTCTTATTGGTTGTCTGGAGTTAACACGCATTTGATTGCAACAGTTGGACCTTCAGTTGGTCATCTGCTGTTTCTCTGTGGGTTTGATTCATTGTGGTGGCACACTGCTTACACATATTTTAATGTAATCGACGCAAAATATAAAAGTGTACATTTATAAGGAACTTGATTGGCAGACAAATTATGAAGTTAAATGACAAAACAAATAGAAAAGAGAAAATTTCCTCCATGTTTACTTGTCGTCTTGATAAATTCAGCAGTACCCTTAATAATGTGAGCCACTTTTTTTCTGTAGCTATTAAGCTACCGTCAGTTAAATTCAACACTTCCTGCACAGTTTCATATATAAAGTAAGCTAGCAGTGCAAAGGTCCCGCCCATTTTTGCTCCATACTCCAATAACAGTTGAGCAATGTGCAATATGCTATGTGCTAGCTCGTCTATGTTAGAAAAGAAAAGATTTTCACATTTTGAAGATAGTTAAAGGATTAAAGCAACATATAGTATGTACATAGTCATATCTTAAAATAGCCATTGTTAGTGAAACGCTAGCTAACTAGCTAGCTAATCTACATAAATTGTTACATCTGATAGCTGATGTGATTTACTAACTAACTAGTGATTTACGATTAGTAATGATCGTTGATTTATCCACAGTGTTTATTTGAAAATGTACCATAAGTGACAGCCACAACCAAACTTTGTTTATTTTAGAAATGTGTGGGTGCTGTCAAACTGTGTAACACAGGCAGCAGAATTCTCCATTCAATTGAATAGATAATGACATTATCTATCAGGCGAATTCACTGAGAGAAGAGGGGTGGGGGTGCATCCCTCGTGCACACAAAGGTCATTATTTAATTGAGACCTATGTTCCAAAGCCCTAAAGCCATTAACATTTAACAGATAGATGAAGCCAGAAATGTTAGGTATTCCATGTGTGAAATGAGCTGAAGGAGGTAAGGAAATACTGGCCAACATGTGATCATATATATCGAAGCTTTTGATGCTGATTTAATTTACACACAAGAAAAGAATTATGGAATGCTAGTAATATTTGTAGAGACATTCCAATAAAATCTTTGTTAGATAAAAGTAAAATCTAAAAAAATATTATGACTTATTTTTATTATATTCCTAAAGTGCCCAAGTAAGCCACTCAATTGCAGTAGAAACAACTTTGGAAATTGCTCCTACTTCTGGTTTTAGCTGTTTCATATAGCCTGCAGTCAAATGAGACTGAATGTTTTATACTGTATTTGTACATTTTACATGATGACTGTTATAGACTGTGATGGAAAAGTAGGTCACACACACACACACACACACACACACACACACACACGCAAAATGAAATTCCCCTCCTCTGAAATGTAATCAGCACATTGCCAGACTCACTGCCAGGTTTATTTTTTCAAATGGTTTTCTTTTTCCCCTCCTGTACCATCAAAACACACCAGAGCACACTCCATCTAAAGGTTTGCATGCCTCCACACTGGTGACAACCATAGCTGGAGGCAGTATGTCTTAGGGGTTGTCTGTCCATCCATTTGTCCCATTCTTGTCAACATGATGTCTCAATTTAGCACAAACGTCCACTTGGACTTAAGGATGAACTGATTTGAATTTGGTGGTCAAAGGTCACTGTGACCTTTTGACAATAAGTCAAGTCTTGATGACCATATTTCACAAGTGGTGACACTTTCGACTCAAAGGTCAACGGTCACTGTGACCTCAAAATGACCTTGACAAAGATGTTTTAGGTCATATCTTAATAATTGATGCAGTGATTACCATAACTTCGGAACAGCAGGGCAGATTGTGACCATATTTCACAGTTGGCTGGACTGGTGACTCAATGGTCAAAAGGTCACTGTGACCTCAAAATAATAATGTAATAATACATTTTTTAAAATATTTTTTAGAGTGCTTTTCAGGGGAACTCAAAGAGACCTCACATCGGTTAAAATAAATAATACATAAAAGTAGATATATATATATCTACAATACTCAACAATGAATCAAACATTCAAAGCAGTTCTGAAAAGGTGGGTTTTGATCAGTGATTTGAACGTGGACAGATCAGTACAGTCTCAAATGTGTTTGGGCAGAGTATTTCAGAGGGAGGGGGCAGCTATGGAAAATGCTCTGTTGCCCCAGGAACAATGCTTGGTCCTCAGTGGTGGAGACAGAAGGTTGGCATCAGATGAGGCCAGGCTTTGGGAAGGAGTGTGGTGGTGGAGCTGGTCTGTGAGGGAGGGGGCCTGGTTGTGGAGGGCTTTGTGAGAAATGAGAGAATGAATTGGGCGATTCCAGATTTCACACATGTTGACCGGGACAACACAATCAGTAAAAAATAAGTAGCATAGTACAGGTTTTTATCTATCCATCTCATCCATTCTGCCTTTCACTTCCTGCATCAATCAGAATATGTGAGTGAGTGAGTTTCACCTACAGCTCATAGAGAGGCTTTGCATGTAAAAATGCCAGGCATTTAGTATAGTCACACTTTGTACGTTTTCACCTTTTTAGCCAATACATCTATGATAATCCGTCATTAATCTGTTTAAAAATGCATATTCACTGAAATCATACATATACCATCAGTAAAGTAACTTCCATTTAGCTTCCAATCCAAGCATCTGTCTATCCTTCTCGGCTCTGATTGGTTGTTTACGTTCAGGCCCGGTGGATTCTTGCAAATACCATTAGGAGTACTAGGAGGAGCCAGAGGAACGTGATTTTTTCACAGATTATCTGTCTCATGTCAGGGTATAGTGAAGATATAGCAGTAATGACAAAAAGTTATTTTTATAAATGTAACCTTCTGCAGCTCTAAATTCCTCCCAAGTCTGGACACACTGAGATGTAACTGCAACTTGACTAGTTGTCAGGGGCATAGAAAAATCTGATCTAGTTCAGTATTATTGTATTCATTTCGGATATGACATTATGGATATGATTCAATTGATTACATATTTTAGATCAATACAATGTATGTTTATGGGAAACCCTTAATGTATATTTGGAGTTTTGAACCAATTATACACCATACACCAATACATAATTTTGAGTTATTTTAGTTTTTTAATAAACCCTGGAGTTTCCGTCGACCTCTGTGTTGTAACACAAACATGATGCCTTCTCAGTCATTCAATAAGTATGAAATGAAATACCATGTCGAGTTTAAGATTCCTTTTTAAATCATAAATGCAAATTATTTTGAATGTGCATGTGTGTAAGGAAAATCAGATTTGGGTCTTCCGCCTCCTTTGGTATAATGTAAACATGGTAGAGGACCAAAATGCAGCAGAGTAAACAAGGAAGTGAGGGAGTAATGCTGTGGTAAGTGCTGAGTTGTAGCTATTTAAAGATGACTGCAGAGTGAGTGTCATTGTGTAAGGCTTATTTTTAGCTGCAGCTATGCTGTAAAACAGGAGCAATTTAAAGGTATATGCTGAAGTCAGTAAACATGTATAGTCTGTCATTATCTTGTCAAAAATTACAATTTAAAAGCTTAAATAATCATAATAATCTACTGTTTGAACTGTCAACTGAAGTTTTCTTCCTGACCTCCCATTCATTCATTTAATTTAGTCTTTATAAGTTATTCATCTATCATCTCATCCAAATCCTTAATGTCAGTAAAACAAAATCACAAATTTTACAATGCAACAGGCATTAAAAATCAAATAACAAAGTAGCATACTGAAATATTGAAATATTTTACCAGCTCCGATCCGAGCACAAAATCGTCCTTTTTCTTTAAACAATTCTAAAAATTTACATTCTTTTTGACACAAAATATTTAAACTCCAAATAAGAGCCTTACTTTGGTTTCTCGCAGTACTAACATCCCACGCAGTCATATTTGATTTTGTGGAACTCCTCTGTTAGACATACCAAATCTGTTGTCTCCAATTTAAGAAAACTTTACACAGCTATAATACAGTATGTGAAGGTGGATGGTGACAGCTGGACTGACCTCAGCTGCCAATGTTTGGTATGTACAACCTGATGAAGTCCTCTTTTGAAGATGACTTACTCCTTTGATGAACAGGTGATTGTATTATGCTATTTCTACTTTGGCTAGGTGTGGAAGTTCTTGGTGATGTTATTGCACAGCCTGCAACTCTTTGCTACGAGGCAGAATAAATATTTTTTCTGAAGTTCTGTTGTAGCTGAGGTGATCTGCACTGAGGATCACTTCAGCTTTTTGGCTTAAATCATGAATATCTGTTTCTACAGTGAGCGATGATGCTTCTGCCTGTTGTGATTTTTCTTTGACAATACTTCTTGCTGTGATTACAAAGGTGTTTCTTTCTTTTTCAATGATGTATCTAGTCATGAGTAGACTCATGTCTGCTTATTTGCTCTTTCTCCTCATTAATGTGATAGCATTTTATGGATTACAGTTCATCTCCACCAGGCTGACTTCAGTTGATCAGTCCAATCTCAAAGCATGTTGTGCATCTTTCCATTAAGCATTAACACACATCTTCCCTCATCCGGCACAATAGGCATTTTAATAGCAGGAATTGCTCCAAAGAGACTGTGAGTAGCCAATGAGAGTGCATCTTATTGTGAGCTGATGTGGAGTGAGTTGAGTATTATGTCATGTTTGAGATCATTGGTTCTTGTGTCAGTTGATCGATCTGAATCCTATCACAAGACAGTACTGCAGAACTCTGGACTATGTTCAGTGCCGTTTTTGTTTTTTATTATTTGTTGTATCTGTACAGTATCTGCACATGCAACTACAGTATGGTTAAAGCTGCACTAATCAATATTTTCATATTAACAATTGCTAAAATAACTTTTTGTAATGTGGAAGATGTCACGCACAGAAAATTATGGCTAACTCTGAAGGTCCTCGGCTGGACAAAATGTGTTTGCCTCTTTCAGTTTGTTGTTCTGGTTTTACGGCTCACAACTTTACCGTTTTGTTTCGGCCTCAGTGACCACATCAACATTTATCAGGTGGACACAAACTAAATATGAAGGTCCAAATGAATGCTAATGTTGCTCTGTGTGTGCTGGATGTGTAAATAGGCTGTTCGCTAAAACGTTATAAAGAATTAATGAGGTGACATTTGTGGTCTGCCGGCCACCAAGGGGCCAAAATAAATCAACTTGAGCTGCTTTAAAGGTGCAGTGTGTCAGATTTAGGGACATGTAGCGGTGTAGTTGCAGATTGCAACTCCCTCGCCTCACCCTCCCTTTCCAAGTATAAGCGGCTCATTCTAAGGTAACGAAAACACAACAATTCTTATTTTCAGGTGATTATAAACTGATAACTAATCAATTTCTGCCAATAGATCCGCCTAAATGTTGCACACTGGACATTTGAGGTTAGCTAATTGTTTTGGATATACCTCATAAACTATGGGTAAGGTTAGCAAACTAAAATACTTTAGGGAAAAGGTTAAGGAAATGTGGTTATGGTTTAAAAATGCAAATGTTAACTGTGTGATGCAACATCCACAAACTCTATAAATTATCATATATGATACATCTGATGTGTTACACACCCAACCACCACCCCAACCTCCACACTTTTACTTGTGACCTCCCTAAAGGGCACACTGGGAACTGTTGGGTCTCTGTAAATAATGTTATAAGGAGTTCGGTCTAGACCTGCTCTATTTGAAAAGTGTCCTGAGATAATTTCTGTTATGAATTGGCGCTATACAAATAAAATTGAATTGAATTGAATTGAATCACTCCCTGCATTGGGAAATCATGTGCTGCAAAACTGCCCAATATGACCATAATTTGCCTGGGATGCTAGGCTGGAATTTACACGGTTAAGTGCAACAAAATATGGAGTTTCTACACACCAAGTGTGCTACATTCAGTTCTTTCCTCGTCTGACAGGTGGTATAGAGTATCCCCAGCCTTTTAGTAATTTATACCGTACTGTGTCTCTGGTGTCCTGTAGGCTCAGACTTCTCCCCTCCTGCTGGCCATCTTCCAGTCCTGCGACCCAGCCATGACCTAAACCATTTTCCTGCTGCCACTGACCAAGCCTTACCTCCAAGTAAGAAGCAACACCTCCCAGTCTTACTCTGGAGTCACATCCCTACACATTGGTTTGCTGTGCAAGTATAGCTAGTTTCTGTGTGTGTGTTTCAATGCATGCTACCAAGTATGTTTGCTTTGCAAACATATCCCATCTCCTCTGTGTTTTCCCTCATCATCTCATCCTCCCTCCCCGCACACCTCTGTAGATGTACAGCTTTATAATGCTATGTGCCGCTTGGTTCGTGGTCGGATCTGCACTCAGTATTGGATGCTTGGATGGCTCGCTGGTCTTCGCAGATTCAGAGCAGGAAAGTCAGCTGCCAGAAGGCCCAAACTCCACTTAGCTGTTACATCATCCAGCGTCCAACTGAGAGCACCTAATCAGTGTGCTGTTTCCCTTACACGCAACATTTTTCAATACATGCTTTGGGATAATAAGGTGCAGTCTGTTTTCTGCTTAAGATTATACAGCAGCAATTTATAACCCTTAAGAATATACCTATCAACACCTCTTTTCTAGTTTAGGGGCAGTAGGTGTTGGAACTATTTCTTGCACAGTGATTTTTCAGATTTTTTACTCATTAAAGAAATGGTTAATTAATGAGCTTCAGAGGTGTTGATAGGAGGATATTTAAACCTTAGACAAAGCCAGGCTAGAATTTTCCGTTGCTTCAAGTCTTTATGCTAAGACTAATGGCCTATATAGATCCTCTTAGCTTATATTAATCTTATTTTAAACATGTGTTTGCATCGCAACCAACGGAACAAACAGATGCAGGATACGCAAGGCATGCCTACCCTCCATGGCCTGTAGGCTGTGTGCATCCTCAGAAATGAAGTCTTGTGTTGAAAAGTTTGAGGCAGTATATGAGGATGTGAAGAAAGGTAAGCAACAGGAAAGTTGAAATAGAAACTGATAGAGTTGTTTGCTGCTGCTTTTTCCGCCACAGTCTCATCATGAATAATACTGTATACTGACATTCTTGAATGTCGCCATGTTTATGCAAAATCAGAAGTTGTCAAGGGAGATATTCCACTGTTGGCCCGAGATGAATCAGTCCGGATGTGCTCCCTAGATCAGAGTTTTTCAGACTGTGAGGCACTTCTCTCCAGGGGGGCGCGGGAGAGATGCAGGGGGGTTGTGCACGGAGGGACCAACACAGTCAGCTCACAGCTCATGGAGGCAATTAAGGTACTTTAACATGCTTAGTGCCGGATTGCCACACTTTGCCTAAGAATTCACATTTCTTCTTAGAGTCATAACTCAGTCTGTCTCAGTCTAAACATACAGACTTAATACACACGTTTAGATTTAGTGTTACACTTTATTACTTAATTAATAAAATTAATTTCTGATGTTCGTTGTAAGTAAATGTCTATAAGACGATCCAGAACTTTCCTGTGAATGATAATGTTCTTCTGATATAGCATACTTTTGGTATTTTGCTATATTTTGGACAGTAGACAGAGACAGAGAGAGGATAACTTGTAGCAAAGGTAGCTAGATTTGAACCCAGGCTGCTGCAAGAAGAAGTCAGCCTTGATACGTGGTGAGTACCTAGTTAGCTAACATACCAGGTGAGCTACAGGGCCACAAACATTTAACATCCCTTTAATGGTGCCAGTTTGCCAAAATGTAAACAAACAAAAACTTCCTCAGGTTGTAGCCCAAAGTGTAACTTGCTGAATCCACAGCATCATTAAACTTCCTGTGTACATCCCCCAAAACATTATGGGAACTGAAGTTTCAAAACTGAGAGCACGATTCTGGCAGCTGACCCCAAATAGAAGTAAGACGAAGAATAATAATAGGACTGACAAAAATCAATTAATATATATAATATTACATTACTAATGTTGTCGGTGTTGGGGGTTTTCAACTAATATCACTGGACAGCCCTGACATTGCTCTTGATAGGTATAGAGAAGTTGTCAGAGCCCAAAGGGATGAATTCAAAATAACTATTTGGTCAGACCAGCACTCATCCAAAGGTAAACAGTGTAAAATGATAGGAAATAGACATTTTAGAAGCTGGAACCAGAAAATGTTTAGTATGTTTACTTGAGAAATTGCTTAAACACTATTATTTCTTCTTTTAATGCACAAGTCAGAAATGCCACAGCCTTTGTTGATAGCACTAATCATCATAATAACCAGACATTGTTCATTCAAGTTCATTCCTCCTTGACTTTAAGTATGTGAAGGTCAATGGCAGTACAATTTAGTCAAGCACTTTCTTAACTCCCTAAATATGGTCAGGACTGGCACGCTGTGTGTGTGTGTGTGTGTGTGTGTGTGTGTGTGTGTGTGTGTGTGTGTGTGTGTGTGTGTGTGTGTGTGTGTGTGTGTGTGTGTAAGGCAGAGCAGTCATGACAACCAATAGAGGGTTGTTGTTTTTTTTCTGTCTTGAGGGGGCGGTCTTCATCTTCCTCCTCCTCCTTCAGCAGTTAGTCAAAGCTGGGGAAAACTGCTACGGTCCTCGTTTCACACATTCACACTGTGGGTGTTTATGAACCAAATTAAGTCCTAATTGTGGCATATCAGATAGTCACAACAACAACAACTTTGATTTAAATTCCAACCTGCCTCTGTTTCTGCCCAAACCACTCAGGCAACAAACATGAACCCAAATGACAGAAATAAGCTTTGCTTAGCTTTGAGCAAAAACTTGTGTAAGTCTTGACCTACATGATCCTTCATCAGTTAAATAATGTTCATGCAATCCCTAAGAATATTTTAGTAAATTAGTGTATTGGAACTAAAGATAGAATAAGGCAGGTCATAAGACTGCTATCCAGAAAAATAAAACACCTATTATAGGAACTACTTTAATCAAGTTTGAAAGGTTGAAATATTCTTTGTTTTGCAACAAATATTTCCCCTTGTTTTATTTCTAGAATAACAGTGGGTCAGATGCCTGTGTAACAGACGCCACAAGTGGCATTAAACCCACATAGAACTATCACCAGTTCCACACTTCCATCAGCTCTACGCATATTTTAGCATCTTCCAGCTTATTGTTTAGATTTTATGGTTCACACAAATTTCCAGTGTAGCAGCAGGCCACTGCTTTCAGTAAAACAAATCTTTGATTGATCTGACTGTACCTGCTCCTGACCTGGGCAACACTGGTTGGCAACTAGCTGGTAAACATAGTGGAGCTTTTAGCATCTTGAGAGTGAGATATTTTTCTCAGGGGTTGGTGGAGATCGATCAGAGAGTAAATATCGGATATTGATATCATTACTGATATCATCAGGTGACACTAATGAATGCTTATCTGGTGCTGTGTCAGTTGGATGCAAAAACATTATTTTAACTTTATGGGCTGATATTATGTCAGTGTTTTTACAGCTTGTTCTCCTGCCCCCATATGGCCAAAATAAGTAAATTCATACTGCCCCTAAGGTCCAGTGTGTAATATTTAGGAGGATCTATTGTAATGAAATGGAATGGAATATAATATTAGTAAGTATGTTATCATTTGTCCTTGTGATTTTGTTAGAATTAGACATTTTCCAATACACAGGGAGCGTGTCCTCTTCTACAGAGTCCTCAGTAGCCCAGAGCGGACAAATCAAACACTGGCTGTACCGTTAGTTATACACGCTTTGATGTGGAGGATGAGGCGAGGGGTATTCAGTTTGTTGTAATCTGCAATTGCAATGCCAGGTAGCACAAAGGTTAGGTAATTGTTGTCTACTGGATGTTGCCAACAAGTCTGTGAGGTGATAACAAGTCAGTGTTTACATTTTCTTCCTGTGATCCAAGATGGATTTACTTGATTTTGACACATTTTCTTTAAGAGGATGTTGTTTTATAGTAGAATTGGTCTTAATTCGATGTATTCCCAGAGTGCATTTAAGATTTTGATTGATTTTCAATCAAGAGAGAGATTAAGTTTATATTTTCATATCATTTGGTCCATAGGCTTGGATCCTACCAATAATCGGCTTGTCAGAATAAACCCGAAAGTCCTGATGATTTTCAAGGCAGCCATCAGAGCTTGCATGAAGGGATTAGTCATCCACTCACTTTTGGTGTTATAATGTACAGCATCGAAGTAGTAGGAAAATGCCCTTTTTGTAGATAAAAATAATGCAATGTGTCTTATTGTGTGTACAGTTAAAATCAATTGTTAGATTGATCGAGAAATTAAGATTTATTTTAAGCCAACAGAAAAAGGGCCTCAAAAAGCAGAAGGCAGCATGAATATTGGTTGATAACAAGAGCAAATAACACTTTAGCCAGTACCAACCAGTACAAATCCATTCTTGAGCTTCATCCAGCTAATTGAAATGTGATCGACACACACTTTCTTCAACAGTGGACTAGCTAACATAACGTAACTTAACATAACATGACATAACTTTGTCTAAATCTCCGACCCCAACCCTCTGTTGCCACAGACTGGGAAGCTCGTATTGACAGCCACGGCAGAGTCTTCTATGTGGACCATGTCAACCGGACCACAACCTGGCAGAGGCCGAGCCACAGCGGGAAGTGTAACCACGGGATCCCCCGCTCAGGATCCACCCAGCAGATGGAACAACTCAACAGGAGGTCAGACTGGGAAAACTACTAAAGCCAAGAACGGCAGTGCTGCACTCGTCTGTGAAGTTGCAGCCAGCCTAGATCTTGATTGAAGTACATTGTGATGTGTTGATCAATAAGGGGCTTCAGTTGTAAATAAGGGAGTCCCAGAACCCAGAGACTGTTCCAGCGGGACAGGGGGTCATAAATACTTTCTCATGTCTAGTTACAGCGGATGATTTATTGTTACAGGGATTGTTTCTGACATCATATGATGGATTTAACTTTTCAGATTCAAATGCACAATATCCTTTACTATACAAAGAAACACACCTCAATACCAAATTCATTTTGGTATTTGGTATTCAGGTGTGTTTCTTAAGTCTTTATCATTCAGTGTACATCTGTATATTGGTTTTGGTTGAGTTTTTGTCAACCAAATAATCATTTTGAACTAAAAAGTGCTGAAACAAGGCAATAGAGAAAGGAGGACTATGAGGGAGCGGAGGCATACTCTCAGTCAGTACAGTATTGGAAGCTGTGTACAGGTCCTACACTTTTCAAATGGAGCAGGTCTAGACCGTACTCCTTATAGCATTATTTATGTATCGTGGAGTTAGGCTGACATCTGGTGACTGTAAAGGAACTCAAACCAGTGCAGATTAAAAAAATAAGCAGCATTATAAAAAAACAAACTGACTACATCTTGAAAACAATGAAATTTTCCTACAGGTACCAGAACATCCAGAGGACCATGGCCACAGAGGAGGATGGTGGGAGTCAGAGGTTAGAGCGGAGCGGCAGTACAGAGACTGATTCGGATGCTCCACAGACAGGTGCAGCGCTCAGCCTCCTCCACAGTTTAGAGTGATCTCTTCAGAGATCATGTGTGATCTGTGTTTTTCTGGATCGTGTTCATGCTCATTTGTGGGACTATTGACTTGTTTTCACCGTCCTCAGTCATAAGTACTGCTTCTATTTTGTATCATTGTCATTTGCAATGGTTTATATTTTTACTTTACTTTATATTTTTACTTTATAGCACTTTATCTCACTGTAATCTCATTTATGATATGAATTAACTTATTCATTAATCGTAAATAATACCTCACTCAAAACCTACTTCAGTAAACTGCTTAAAAATACTACACAGAAAAAGTGAGTCGCTGTCTGTCTGCAGGCCCCGCCTCCCCTGTCAATCACCAGAAGATCAGCCATCTCCTCCAATCACCTGCTGTCAAGTTCATCACACACCCAGAATTCTTCACAGTGTTGCACAGTAACTATGTGAGTACACACACAAAAAAAAAAAAAACACACACACACACACACACAGCTTTGCCTATATACAGTACATTGTGCTAAATTAGAGCTTTATAGTTCTTAAACTTTACACCTTCCTATAAAGAACCAGTGTAAAGCTGATCATTTCTTCAACAAACTGTGTACTTTATTGGATTGCAATCATCATACTGGAGGTCAATGTCAGATGTCCCACTTTAGCCATATGGCTGCTTTTACGTGTTTTAGTTGACTATAAATAACAATAAACACTATATTACAGGGGAATATATATTCTTTCTCTGTCCATAGAGCTCCATTGTTTCCCAAAAACAATTAAAAACACATCAAGGAGCCACACTGTTGCCCTGGGTGACATGTTCCAGTTCATTACCATGAATACACACAAACACTGTCGTGTATTTTGACTCAATGCCACATACACCGTCTTGCCTAATCCACTGCTGAAAATAGTCCCAAAGAAATGCACTATTTCCTCCTGTTTGAGTAATGTAAAAAACTAAAGTGGCCAGCTGTTTTAGGAAATTACTCAGCCTTTTAAATAAAATGAATCAATAGGTTTGTGAGTTGTTTTTAAAGATTTATGTCTTCAGTATAAATGAACAGGCTTGGAGCTGAGAGCTTCAGACACAGTAGAGAGAATAATGTAGAATATTCATATAAATTTAGAAACTTCTGTGAAATATTTATGTTACAACATGCTAATTTATGTTACACTGTTAGGTTACAACAATACAAGTTATCATGATATTACAAGATAAGTGTCTTGTTATAAAGGGAATACTTTTACTACGGTACTAGTATTGTGAAAATATCTTATTATAACATGGGAAAAAAACTGTGTCTCCAGGCCGCCTACCGGATGTTCACCAGCAGCAGCTGCGTGAAACACATGATCCTGAAGGTGCGTCGCGATGCCAGGAACTTTGAGCGCTACCAACATAACCGGGACCTGGTGGTTTTCCTCAACAAGTTTGCAGACACTCAGCTGGAGCTGCCACGAGGCTGGGAGATCAAGACTGACCCCCAGGGCAAGGTAGGCTTCATAATGTAGAAGGACCCTTTAATGAGGGGATGGATGTCCATACTTTACAGTCACAACTGTTTCATACTTGGAAATGCTAGCAAAGCTAAATGAACAAAGCACTGGAAGTCATTCAGATGTTTTATTATGTTGTTTTAAGCAGTGTGAATGAACCTTACAGAAGGTCAGAGTCATGTGCAGCTGAAGTTACATACTGTGTTCAAAGGCCAGAATATGAAACCAGCAAATGCACATTCAGCATTAAAAAGCAATTCTTTTGTTTAATTTGAACTTTTACAAACACAAAATAGATATAAAACAAGATATGGTGCCTCATACAAGTGAACTGTAGAGGTTGCTGCACCAGAATACACCAGTAGAATCATTCAGTCAAAACCTCCCAGTAAATTGACATCCACGATGAAGATGATGATCTGGAGATTAGACTATTAATTTTGCATTAACTCTGCTTTAGTTATATTTTTGATTTTAGTGATTTGGTTTCATATTTAAGCTCCAAAATCATTCAGCTTAAGGCATTATGATTCTTAAGTGAAAGTTTTTTTTGTTTTTTTTTTGGAAAGAGCCAAGTCTAATCATGACCGGACCACTTGTCAGTTTTGTTTAGACCTCAGAGAATTCAAAGTACAGGGAAAGTGATGTCACAATGTCACAAATTCTCTTGAACCACTCCTACGTGCCACATGAGAACACATCTGCTTGTACCAGCAGTTCTTGCATAAGGCCCATTGTGTACACTTAAAGTTTCAGTTAAAAAAAAGAATATATTGAGAGGAAACAGAAAGCACGGCTATTACAGAAGGAAGGAGGATACATAGTTCATTTATGATTCAACAATCTGCCTGTCATGTTATAAATTCGGGTTGAGTATAGTTTTGAGGAAATTAAGATGTGTGTGAATTGATTTGCAGATGTATTTATGGAGGGAAATTGAGAATGGAGTATATAATGCAGAAATAATGAAGAAAAATGGCTAATAATAATAAAATGAATACAAATTATATTAAAATGTTTTATTTCGACAAATGTGTTCTAATGTGGAGGAACATTTAAAATCTCTCTATGTTTTCTGTTTCTCAGTCTTTCTTTGTGGACCACAACAGTCGAGCCACCACCTTCATTGACCCTCGCATTCCTCTGCAGAACGGCCGGCTGCCCGGCCACCTTGCCCACAGGCAACATCTGCAGAGACTACGCAGCTACAGCGCTGGGGAGGTACTCACACACACCTGTGCTATCAATACAGATTTATTAGTAGCATAAAAAGCAGCACATTTAATGTAGTTGGAGATGCTCTCCGTGCACTTGTATGGTACTCAGCCACAAGCCCATTGGTTCCTCCTGAAGACATAAATCCAATTAAACAGCTCACTAATATATAGTTCTATTTTTAGTTTCAGTTATTTCCTAAAACGGCTGGGCACTGTAGTTCTTATTAAACATTACTAAAATAGGAGGAAATAGTGCATTTGTTTGGTACTATTTACTATTGATCCACATCTGATGCTTTGGACTATTTCTGGCTGCAGTACTATGTATGTGGGAATGAGTCAAAATTAACAAAAGGTTCAGCTTGAATGCTAATGTGCAGTGACACCCGCAATGCTAGATAATGTGCACATTCAACACCAACTCTTCAAACACTGCTTCAAAATCTGAAAATATTAGGTAGCCCTCTCGCATCATTTCTGAATGTGCAGGGCTCCGCAAGTTATCAATAATAAAACTGCAGTGTCTGGTTACTTTCAAAATAAAGCTTTTGTAATTAACAACTGACCAAGCGGCTGTATTCCGCGATTTGGGAGTGAGACATTGTTGGCACTTCCGATGCATTTACTTTATACTGAAGGCTAGGTGACTGTGTCCTGCTAATATCCTAATATCAGATTCATTAGAGTGGAAATGATCAGTAGTAAATAGCTGTCCGAAGATAAACTAAACAATGGCCCGGGGAGTTCCATTTGATCCCTTATCAACATTAAACCGCAGCAGTGACTGTGGCACACAGCTCACAGAGGCAATCTAGGTACTTAAGCTAAATATTTTTCAATCAGTGTGACTTATATTTCCCAAGGATATCATTGTTTTCTGACTCCCATTGTAAATAAACCTCCATGAATCCACGTAGAAAAAGAAAAGATAATATTCACATTTGCAAAGCTGAAAACAGACAATTTGGAATTTTTTTCTTAAAGAAACACTCAAAACAATTGATTAATTTAATAGTTGACAACTAATCATTTAATAGTCATCAGGTTTTACATTTTCTTCAGTGACAAATTAACTTACTACTAAAATACTTTTAATGGTGCCAGTTTGCCAAAAGAAAAATCTGCTCAAAAATGGGGCTACCAGGGTAGCCCACAGCATGACTCACTGAATCCATTATACTTTCTGTCTACATGCTTCAAAGCATTATGGGGGGAAGGCAACTAGGAGTGTGGTGTCAGTGAGTTTACATGAACTGCTGTCTTTCTGTGAAAACTGTCCTGTTGGTGTTTGTCCCCAGGCGTCTGATGTGTCCAGGAGTCGTGGAGCCTCTCTGATGGCCCGGCCTGGAAACAGCCTGGTAGCCGCCATACGAAGCCAGCATCACGCTGCTGACTCACAACAGCTGACCGCCCCGTGTAGGCACTCTCAGAACATCTCATCATTGATTGGATGCCACAGTCAACCTAATACATTGTTTGAAGTCTTACTCTGGCTGTGTTCATATCTGACTGCTCCTGTCTCTCTCTCACTAGCTTACAATGACAAGATAGTGGCGTTCCTTCGACAGCCCAACATATTTGACATGTTGCAGGAGCGACAGCCCAGCCTAAGCAGGAACCACGCACTGAGGTACGCTTTGATTCAGAAATATTGAAGTTTTCTTTGATTTTTAGCACCGCTGTGCATATATACTGTATTTTGTAAGGCACCCCAGTCCACAATGCATATCTGAAGCTAATGTGATGCTTCAGCAGTCTGATTTAGACCACTGAAATGGATGTTTAAGAATTTTTTCTACCTAATTCCATCTTTGTGTTTGCTGGTGCTGTGTTCTAAAAGTGCTATATACATTATCACTGCTCTTCAATTCTGTTTACAATTTGAAATCAAATCATTATATGATTGATTGATAAACTGATAAGGGCTTTGTCTTGTCGACTGTCCAGGGAGAAAATCCACTACATTCGGACCGAAGGGACTCAGGGGGTGGAGAAGCTGTCGTGTGACGCAGACCTAGTCATCCTGTTAAGGTAAAGAACACCCTAAACCCAGCAGCAGGGAAGTCTCAGATTACTGAATTCACAAAATTAAACTAACTGTCCACGTGGTGCCGAGAAATAATGTCTTCTATGCTTTTCCGTGTCCTTTGTAGTTTATATGAAGAGGAAATCATGTCGTATGTCCCGCCCCACCCCATCCACCCCGGCTTCAGCTTCTCTCCCCGCTGCTCCCCCGCCTCCTCACCACAGAACTCTCCTGGTAGGTCCTCCAGCTGCCCCATCACAAATATTTGGAGTTCTGTGTGTGAAAGGAAAAGATGAAACACTCCTGAGCTTGTTAATAATGTAATAATCGTTGTTCTAGCAGAAAGGTGACGGCTGTCAAGCTCACATTTGTAATTTTCTTCAAATATTCTTCCTACAGACAATTAGTCAGAACATACTTTACAACAGGGAACGGTCTCTTTCGCACAACACAGAAAACAAAGTAAAGAGATGTATTGCATTTCATCGTTTACCAGTAGAGGGCAGCCTAGACTTACCAACAATAAATACAAAGCACTGTTATTTGTTAGAGGTACAGGGATCTTCCTTCAGATGGGAACACGTTGTGAATGCCAAAATGGAAAAAAATATGGAAAATCCAATCAGTGCCTGGGGGCAGAACCTGACATGAGCTGGTGGCAGCCATGACAGACAGCCTTTCACATTAAAACGAGCCCTGAGAAGGATCTTCTTGGCAAGAAAATGTTGGTTTTAATACAGCATGAAAAATTCATGTCGTAGTGAAAAACTAGCCAAATAATTGTGAAACAGGTATTTAATTGCATTTTAAGAAAACTGGGACAGAAAAACTAAACTGTAGTAGGATGGCACATAGAAATGTATTAAGCTTTTTGCCCCTGTGTGTGTGTTACCTGCCTGTCAGAGGCCATGTAGTAGTCACATATGCAAGTGAAGTGGACACAGTCTGGTGTCCTACACAGTAATCTAGCAAGCTATCTGAAGCACTCTGTGGATTCTATTAGATACACACACAGGCACACACACACACACACACACACACACACACACACACACACACATAATGATTATCAGTGCTGTTTGACAGAGCCTGCTGTGCTATGTTAGGGTGCACTAATGTTATCTTAATGAGCAACAGTAGACCTCAAGCAGGCCACAAGCGTGTGTGTGTGTGTGTGTGTGTGTATGTGTATTGGGGTATGCACTGTTATTGATGGGAGGTTCTATAAAGAGAAACTGGGTCACAGCAGGGAAGCCTGGCTTATAATTGTGTTTCATTCATTAGCTGTGCTTTTTTCTTTGTGAAAACCTGAACTGGAAAAACAGAGTGAGAAATGTTGTGAACTCATCCGAACTGCTGCTAAAGAAAGAGCCTTCAATGGTCAATTGACACTTCCTCCCCAAGTCCTGCCCCTTTTTGCTCTGTGCTCAAATAACAGTTGAGCAAGCTTCAGTCAGAACCTCTGTCAACTTTCTCCTTTCCTATGGCCACATCTTAAGATAGCTAATGTTAGCAAAACGCTTGCTAACTAGCTAGCTAATTTACATCAATTGTTAGTTAGCTGACATTTTGCTAACGTTAGCTAAGCTAAGCTATCACTATATATTTGTCACTTTTATTTTTTAACCATCTTCAAAATATGGTTGTCTTTTGTGCCTAACACATGGCATATCTAAGCACAGGAAGTGACTTTACAAATCCTATGTATGACCCTGCCCTCCTCGGCCTCTGATTGGCTTAGCCTGACGATGATGTCTTAGCCTTGCTGTCTTGCCACTGATGTACCAGGCAGTTGCGAAGGAGCTAGCTAACACAGTCTACCAGGGGAGATGATAGAGTGAGAACTCTTGGTTGTTGTATTCATCAAGGCTTGGCATTAAATTGTAGCAGGTCCTTAACTGTGATTGTAACACTCAGATTGTAACAGACATTTGAGCTGCAGAGTGAACAGTGTGTACAGTGGTAACAGAAAGAGTCATTTATGAACCTGCTCAGCTTTTAAACCAAGGCTGGATTGGATAGTGTCCGGCAGTGCAATTAACAGTGACATATCAGGTCTTTTCTGGGCTAAAGGTACACATGTACAAGCTAGCTTAATGAGGTCAGCATTTCGTCTCTCAGTGACCCAGTTAACCATGTCAGAGTGCCAGTATAAACAACAGCAGGGCCCCGGAACTGCTGAACCAATATGGGATGGGTCCGCTATTATATGATTTTATTTGCACCTTTGCTTTTCCTGCTATGACATGACAAAATATCTGCCATTAAAAAAAGTCCGTTCATTCTGATTGTCATATATCAGGCTACTACTAGACTTCTATTTTACTGCATTTCTGAGTGTGGTATATTGAAATCTTGTCTATTTATCATCACTCAGTTTACTCATCAGTCATACCTTACATTTGTTCATACAACATCACATCACCTTACAATGCATAATTGTAATTTGAACTACCCAATGGTATGGGGAGTAGTTAAAATCAGCTCCAACTCGATGAGTGGCAGCATTATAATTCTTCTAAAATGTAAACTCATCAGTCATAATAATCCAACAGTAAATTAACATAACCTTCTGAATGGGGCCATTCCACATAGTGAGCAGTAATAATTCTACATTTTCTATACTTTCAATAATTCTACATTTTCATTGCAGGAACTTTTTTTCTTTTTTGCAGGAATTTATAATGGTATAGTAATAGTATTTTGACATATGACATTAGTGCTTTTAAGTAGAGGATCTTAGTACTTCCTCTATTGTGTGAAAGAAATTGTTACCTCTTGTCAGAAAACTCTTCAAAACTACTTAATTTTATACAAATACCCTTTGGTAGTGTTTTAACTACATATATATACTGTGTTAACTTTTTTTCTGTGTTTGCTTTTGTTCTGTCTGTGTGTGTGTGTGTGTGTGTGTGTGTGTGTGTGTGTGTGTGTGTGTGTGTGTGTGTGTGTGTGTGTGTGAAGGCCTGCAGAGGGCCAGGGCTCCAGCTCCTTACCGCAGAGACTTTGAAGCCAAACTAAGAAACTTCTACAGGAAGTTAGAAGCCAAGGGGTATGGCCAGGGACCAGGCAAGATCAAGTAAGACTCTGTAAATTACGTACATGAAGTAGCTTGTTGTACCATCAAAATAAGAGTGAATGATTCAGTTGTCACAATTACAGTTGATGTATTAATAAATATCCTGATCAGAGTTCTGAACACTGGCATATATAAAGACAGACAACATATGTCGACTCCCTCCCACTGTACAAAACTGAAGGGCCTCTGCCATCTTGCACTGGTGATTTGGATCCAGAGTCTGCGCAATAGTGATCAGGGTTGAAGCCATAGTATCGAGATCCCGCCCATACACCTGGCCGACTCAATTACAAGCAAGATTCAGCTGTCAATCATGGCATACACCCCCCTTTTATAGCTTCAAATAAGTCATTCAAACCAAACTTATCAGAAAATGAACACTTGAACAACATCAGTGTGATAAGATCACATAGCGGGGGTGGGCATTATGACAAATGCTAAAACCAGGGGGCTGTCAAGATGTTTTGCTTCACATTTAGATAGCTCTCTAAATGTTGTCCATCTTCATATACAGTGCACACTGCTTTCTCCTCTCCTAACATTTAGAAGATAATCATCATCTGCTCCCAAATATGTTTATTGACTGTGAGACTACATATTTTATGTAGTATATATAGTATCTAGTAGTAATATTTCAGTAGATGTTCACTGTGGTTTGTCCATGGAGACAGGGCCATGGCTACCATTGAGGACAGTGGGGCAAGGTCCCATGAAAGTGTGTTTTTGGAATTTGGGTTCCAGTATAGAATTAATTTTAATAGAAAAACTGAGGAATTCACTGTACCATAATTGAATTCCTGCCCTTATAGAGAACACTTTGAAACCACCTTTAGCCCTTAATGTTTTTTTTAACATATAGACTTTTCTTTTGGTGTCTGCGTGGTGAAAATGTTTGGAGGGGTGCAGGAGGGACTTAAATTCCTAGTCCACATTATGGGGACTGTCCCAGTGTGATGCCTGAGCTGTCCTGGCTGTTGTAGGTTGCTGATCAGGAGAGAACACTTGCTGGAGGGAACCTTTAACCAGGTGATGGCGTACTCGCGCAAAGAGCTGCAGAGGAACAAACTCTACGTCACTTTCCTAGGAGAGGAGGGGTGAGACACACACACACATACAGTGATATAACAGCTAAATGTGTTACAGTGCAGTAATGTCTGTCTCTCGCTCTCTCTCTCTCGCCCCTTGCCTCTCTCTCTCTCTCTCTCTCTCTCTCTCTCTCACCCCAACTGGTCGAGACAGACGACCACCCACCTAGAGCCGAAGGATCTGTCCTAGGTTTCTGCCTTTTAACAGGCAGTTTTTCCTTGCCCTTGTCGCCAAGTGCTTGCTCATGGTGGTACTGTTGGGTCTCTGTAATTAATGTTAAGGAGTTCGGTCTAGACCTGCTCTATTTGAAAAGTGTCCTGAGATAACTTCTGTTATGAATTGGCGCTATACAAATAAAATTTAATTGAATTGAATTGAATTAATGCAATTCTTACAAAAATTTGAAGCCCAACACTTTGTGATTGAACATGCTTGTTGTTAGTACTTTTTTGACAATATTTTTAAGCTGCACTAATATACACAATGAATCAAATGAAGTAAAATGTTAAATGGCTGTTTTGTTTTTTTGGTATGAAACTCTACTCTCATGAACCTGGTTTCCATCAGCAGCAGGAGGTAGCTGTTTTTAAGTGGAAAAAGCAACAGGCAGTTAGAGACTAGCTGGTGAACATAGTGAAGTCTTGGTTTATTTCTTTTTCTGTTTTTCTGTCATAAATATATTGTGGTGGGGTGCATAAACTATTTATTTTCAGTTTAAATATACTACGGACCAAATGTGTAAAAAATGTGTCTTCTCTGTCTTCTTGTCTCGTCAGATTGGACTACAGTGGTCCGTCCAGAGAGTTCTTCTTCCTCTTGTCTCAGGAGTTGTTCAATCCATACTATGGTCTGTTTGAATACTCGGCTAACGATACATACACCGTTCAAATCAGCCCCATGTCGGCGTTTGTTGAGAACCATCTGGAATGGTAAGCTGTGCAGGAATACAAACAATAGCGAGATCTGAACCCAGCTACATATTCCATATATACAGGGATAGTCCCCACCTGTCAGATTATGTGGATCATTATTTAGACACACCAGTTGTACTGACACACACAGGTATATATACACAGGTGTGCTGGATTGCGCTGTTTTTTTAAATTTCCATTGAGCAGTTCAGACGTGGATCTAAGCAGAAGTGTAAAGAAAGAGAAAATAGATTTTCTGGGAATAGTACAAGAGATCTACTTACAGTACAGTCGGACATTGACCCACTGCCCGGTGCCAATGAGAGCTCTCTGAGATGCTGTTGCTTCTCCTTTGTGGATTGTTTTAAAAACAATCGCTCTGGCAGACATCAAGCATACTGACGTTGGATTGCTGATGCATCGAGGTGTAGCCCTGTTGTAGAATTCGGCGTTGTCAGTATGTATGTGCTTAGTCTACCAGAGGTGATGGAAGTGCACCGTACAGGCTTATCACATGGCTATACCACACACAGTGGTGCAGACCCTTCAGGGGGCACGGCTCCTTCAGAGGGCCACATACTCACATCGTTTGAGGGTGTTTGAACTTGTACAAGTATACTGTAATCCACAGTTGTGCCAGTGCTGTGCTTTGTAGTAGTATATGTTAATACGTGGTCAAGATTCTCCTAGCTGCTAGAAAGAATGCCATCACAATGAACTGGCTCCAGACTGAAGCACCAGATTACAAACAATGGCTTGACGAGTGTTGTGAAAAAGGCTAGGAAGGTTTAATGAAAGAAAAGTGATGTTGTCTTAATAGATGGTAGACCTGTTGCTCCTCATAAGCTCAGTTCATTTCTCTTCTCATTTTCTACCCTGTGTAATTATCTTCCAAAAAAAACCCCCAATAAAGATAAAGTTGAAAAAAAGAAAGAACATTCTCAACAGACAGATTCTAACATGACTTGGTCAGTTAAGTTAGAAAATGTTTTTTTCAAAATGTTTACCGTCTTTTTTATGTTATGGTGTAGTCTAGACTTTCACATCATCAACATTTTGTTCAACTGATTCAACTGTGTGTGTCTGTGTGTGTGTGTGTTTCCAGGTTCCGTTTCAGTGGTCGTATCCTGGGTCTGGCTCTAATCCATCAGTACCTGCTGGATGCTTTCTTCACTAGACCGTTCTACAAGGCCCTGCTCCGACAGTCAGTGCACACACACACTCACACATACCATGACATTTATCATGTATTATTTAATTCTGTCAGGGGTTAAAACAACAGATGGGTATGGAAATGGGTATTGAAGTATTCTTAGAAATCCATCATACCAAACTGATAAAATAGTGCTCTGAGAAGTTGAAAAAACCCCAAAACTGATCGCCATAACATAATGTTATTATATTGTTATTACCCATTTTTTGAAGAACATTTAGGATATCTTTTAAAAAATCTGACTATGGGAATTTAGTGTGGGGGGAACCAGCTGCTGTGTTGAAAAAGAATGAACAAGCTCTTCTATATGTTAAATATTTAGCCCACATAGCCAAACTGGTCTGGCTCATACACTCGTCCTAAATACAGCAATGAATTAGAGTCCACATGTGGGTAGCCACAAATGGCCTGTGACATAGCCTTATCTCAGCCAACTGTGTGACCATAGCTGGCCCTATTCTGGCCCTATCTTGGACCAGACAAGTTTCAGCACTCTTATTTTGGCAATGGTTTTCAAGTGTAAAGTCGACAGACTGATCAATCAGTGTTTCTCCGCCTCCTCTCGCACTGTGTGTAGGCAGGAGTTAGTGAGTGAGTTACTGCTCCGAAACTTTATCACGATAACCATGATTGAGAGGTTATTATTAGATTAACATGCCTGTGAAAAATCAGCAATGTCATTGGAAAGATTACCTTGTTAAGTCTGCTCTACTGATTTAGGCTGTGATGTCTGGAGGTTGGCAAGTTTTTAAGTATGTCCCAAACCTTTGCATGAAACCAATAGTACGTGAATTGCATTCAGTTTACAGGGACCTGTTACAATACACAAGCACTACGGTAGTAGGAAAAGTTAGGACTTATTTTTTACAACTTAAATTACATTTTTGTTATTACAGAGAGAACGGAAAGGTTTTGATCTGTGAAGCACTTGGTGTTACATTTTGCTTGTATCAAAAGTGCTATACAAATAAAGTCTAATTGATTGATTGACTGACTAATTGACTGACTGACTGACTGACTGACTGACTTGGTTTTGCTATGTGGGAGGAATTGTGCCTTAGTCAATGTTTGTTTCTTTACTATTAACTTGGTTGCAAACAGTTCCCGTGAACTCATTTGGATCCGAACACTTGTGTTTTTTTGCAAAAGCTCTAAAACTCTGTTATTTTCAAAAAAGCTGACACAACTCTGCGTGTCCCTCAGGCCGACAGACCTGTCTGATCTGGAATATCTGGACGAGGAGTTCCACCAGTCTCTGCAGTGGATGAAAGACAACGACATCACTGACATCCTGGACCTCACCTTCACTGTCAATGAGGAGGTCTTCGGCCAGGTCAGTGTGTGTCTGTGGATCGGCTAGACATGTCAACTCTAAAACACATGCATGTGATCTTTAATATAACGTATGTATTTGCGCATTGACAAGCTTTCACTGTACTGCTTTGATGACTTACGCTGCTAACTAGACCCAGTACCTCCTGTGTTGCTAGGTGACGGAGCGGGAGCTAAAGTCAGGCGGCTCCCACCTCCAGGTGACTGAGAAGAACAAGAAGGATTATATAGAGCGAATGGCCAAGTGGAGGGTGGAGAGAGGAGTGGTGCAGCAGACAGAGGCGCTGGTCAGAGGCTTCTACGAGGTAAACAGCAAGGTTTCTGTTCTCAGACAGTACACAACACCATAAAATCTTTTTATCGACATTATTAGAAGGTTAACACTAGCTGGGAACCCATTTTTATTTTTTATCAAGTCATAATCTATAGTGAATCACTCAAACACAATGTCAACACCTTACCAGGTGGTAGACTCCAGGCTGGTGTCTGTGTTCGACGCACGGGAGCTAGAGCTGGTTATCGCCGGTACGGTAGAGATCGACCTCAGCGACTGGAGGAGCAACACGGAGTACAGAGGAGGTGTGTGTGTATATAAAACCGTATGTAAACTCTCTATGTATGTTTCTGTTATTTGCCTTGCTGTTTATATTATAAATATAATAAATATTGACCATTTATTACGGATGTCAATGAGAATATTTACAAGTCGGCCTATATGTTAATTTGCATACACAGTCCACTAATGTCTACACTAGTTAAACAGTCTGAGGTAGAACATGAGGTGCATTAAACAAAGCTCGAAAGTCAACAAACTCAACAAACAAAAAAAATTGGTTTCAGTTGAATTGTAAAAGACAAGAAGACGTCTTATGTCCTTCCTAAACAATTTTGAAGGAGAACTGGAACTTTATTAGTAACACATGGAAGATACTGTATTCAACTGAGGTTTACTGTCCAAGACAGAATCACACTTCCTAAGAAAGGATGTTTTAAATTTATACAAAGGGTGCAACTATCAGTGACTGATGAGAAGTAACAACAAAATACATAACAATAAAAAATAATAATAATAACATAACGTAACGTAATATAACATGAAAGCAAACAAGACTCATTTCCCAGAAACAAGGCCTTTTTACTTTATTGAGATTCTTCTTTTTCAAAGCTCTTAACCTGAGTTGATTCACATGTTAACTGACTCCCAACCACTAGGTTACCATGATGGTCACATAGTGATGCGGTGGTTCTGGGCCGCTGTGGAGCGCTTCAACAATGAGCAGCGTCTCCGCCTGCTGCAGTTTGTCACCGGGACATCCAGCGTGCCCTACGAAGGCTTCGCCGCACTGCGGGGATCCAACGGCCTACGCCGCTTCTGCATTGAGAAGTGGGGCAAAGTCACATCACTACCCAGGTATCTAAGGCAGTGTAACACAACATATTTTTGCATAAAACAATTGCCTGTATGATTAATACATTTGAAAAACAGTTGGAGATTATTTTTTTGGTTACTTTTTCTATTAATTGATTAATCGACTACGTGTTGCAGTTTGAGTAGTTCGAGACCTGAATTAATTGTTTCCCACGAGTCAACTTATGAATGAAATACAAAACAAAACAATTTGACAAGTTGTCTCTTAAGCTTAAATCATTCCTCTGCTCTCATACAAACCATTGGATCTGGTAAATGTATACTTCCTTGGGATTAAACACATTTTGAGGATGTTTTCTGCATTTTTTGTGATATTCAAGAGGTAACATTATTTTTGTGACTGTGAAGTGTACGTGGCTGGTGATATAATTAAAACCGCCTGCCACCTCCAAAATGTAGCAACATTGTGCTTTGATATATATTCTTTCATTAATGCCACTTGAAGCTTGTAATGCTGGTGATGTAAGCAATGTAAATGCTGTGACATTGTCTACATCTGTTCACTACAGTGCACCAGCTCAGCACAACAGCTATTTTGGTGTTTTCCCTCCTCTGATATTGTGAAAGGTGTGTAGCTCTGACCTTACAGTGGAACATTAACTTGGCAAAGAGCAGTGAAAAATGTAAGCATGCTCAGCAGAAACAGAGAGCAGGGCTCAGGTTTCACTGCAGAGCAGGAAAGGTGCAAGAGTGTGACTTTGTGGACAGTGGAAGCTTCAGCATCACAGCCAAGGTGGTGTAAAGTGGAGCTGTGTAACTTTTGAAAGAAGGAATAGTCTTTCTCTTACAAATTAAAAAAGTAATAAGCTACAAAACTTCAGTTCAATACATTCAGAGGTTTTGCTGCTTCAGCTTTACTTGGTCGGTTGTGGCCAGTAGCTTATGGGGGCTAATGTTAGCTAACGCTTATAAGCTTGAGGTAGATACTGTGTACTGAATACTACTACGATGGAGTATTAGGGCCATACTAAGAGAAAAAAAAAATTTTGGGGGGTGAAATTACGAAAATAAAGTCATAATATTATGAGAATAAAGTCATAATATTAGGTCTACGAGAATAAAGTCGTAATATTACGAGAATAAAGTCGTAATATTACGAGAATAAAGTCGTAATATTAGGTCTACGAGAACTAAGTTGTAACATTACGAGAATAAAGTCATAACATTACGAGAATAAAGTCGTAATATTACGAGAATAAAGTCATAATATTGCAAGAATAAAGTCGTAACATTATGAGAATAAAATCGTAACATTCGAGAATAAAGTCATAATATTGCGAGAATAAAGTCGTAGTTTTATGAGAACTGTCAACGATGAAATTATCAATACATTAGCTTACCTGTTGACTGTACGGTACGACTGAGACAAACAGCGACTGCTGGGCTCAGGCTGAGGCTGCTGTTTGGTTGAGTTGGTCACGTCAGATCTTGATAACTATATCGAAGCTTTTTTCTCATTAAAACAACTTTTTTTCTTGTATAATTATTACATTATTCTCGTATTATTACGATTTTATTCTCGTAACAATACATCTGGTTTCCAACTTTGGGGTCCCGTTCCCCACTATGGGTCACCAAAGCTTCACAGGAGGTTGTGAGTCCTTTTTGATTTTAAGAGTAAGAAAACCTAAAAAAAATAAAAATACATTAGGCCTATATCTCACAATTTCATTTATTTATGTGGAGAACTAAATTTGTTATTTTTAAAGTTTAAATTATTATTATTTAACATATAAACTTAAAAAAAAAAAAATCACAGGATATGGGCACGGTGAAGACCTGAACACAAACTATATTCACAGAGCTGATATTGTAATACATTGATTCTAATATTAAGTTTCCATCAGATAGTCAGTCAGTTCAGTCAGTGTTCAGTCATAGTGTCACTCGTGTGCGCAAGCACGGGATGAACAAAACAGGGAGCCACACACAGAAGAAAAGCTCCATTACGATACTAGAGGTCAAAAACCACAGCAGGATTTATTTTCCAAGTTTTCTGGGGAGGCAACAAGATAAAGGAGCATAATATTAGACAGATCAAGTATGTATGCATAAATGTTTAGGTCTCCACAAAGACAGTGACCTAAAGTCCATAATTTAGTTTGTCTGAGAGGAGTGGTGGTCAAACCAAGTGTCTTTTTGTAACATCCGCTTTTATGCAGCAATTCCTTTGTCGGGAGACGATAAAAGCAACACTGGACCTCGAAAACTCTGTTGTATTACTATACTAAGGAAATCCTATATGTAGATATGATGATGTTGAAATATCGAGATAAGAAATTCCCTTAGATTCCTCATTCCAGCTGCTTACACCAAAAAGAGTATATGATATTCAAGATAGATATGTTGTGGATAGATGATGTTTTTTAAAAGCCGCATACTGTCTAACAGTCTGCCCCTCTCTCTCTCTCTCTCTCTCTCTCTCTCTCTCTCTCTCTCTCTCAGGGCTCATACTTGTTTTAACCGTCTGGACCTGCCACCGTACCCCTCATACACCATGCTGTATGAGAAACTGTTGATCGCGGTGGAGGAAACCAGTACATTTGGCCTGGAGTGAGACAGACAACAGACAAATCCACACTGCATCCCTCTCTGTGTAACACTGGCTGGGCTACAATGCGAAAAACAAGCAGCTATTGTGGGCTCAATATGTCGTAAAGATACCTGGATTGTACTCGACAAAGTTTTTGGTCATATGGATATATGTACGTCACTGTTATGGTACTTTGTGTTAGAGTCTCTCACTTAGCTATGAGGATCTTTATGACAGCACCACGGCAGGACTACTGTTATTTTTATATTAATCACTGAGACTGGAGAATATGGAACACTACAACAGCGTTTTTTAAAAATATTTCTATATATATGCATACAAATGGTATGTAAAAATTGAATCAAAATCATTTAAAGTTGCATGTAGCAAAATGCATAATCCATCCAATGATTAAAATACTTACAGTAACAGAAAAGGCTAACAAAAACTATCAGCAACAAGTAAAGTAAAATTATAGCTACACAACAGCACCCAAAACAAGAACTTTACATAAAATGTAAGACACTATTATGACATCTAAATACTTAATTTATCTTTAAATTGATACCGGGTTGAAATGTTGAGTTCACAGAAAAGATTTAAGTGATAAAGTAGTAAATGACAAAACCTGCATATACTGCAAAAACAGAGAGAAACAAACCATGCAAACAGTGCACACACAAACATGACAAAGCTTAACATTTCCCATTTGTCACACATCAAATTAATTGTTGTCTACACAAGAAAAACAATAAAACATTTGATTAAACGTGACAGATTTGCAGCATACAACACATTTGGACATCTTTTCTGTGAATTCAATCTCAATGCTAATGACGTGTGCAAATTCTGGCACACAAATTCTCAGGTGGTTTGCTGCTCTTATAAATTCTGATAAATATGTAATCTATGTGGCTTTAAAGAAGCAGTTCGAAGTATAATGCAGATTTTAAAAAAGCTCATCAGATGGATGCAAAAGTCTGGTAGCCCTGATGCCAAAGGAACAATCGTGTATGATTTTTAATCTGGGGAGCCTACGAGGATCATTATGTATTTGATCTGGACTGTGGTGGGCCAGTAAGAACCAGCCTGAGGATCTGAGACTGGGATCTGGTACATAAAGAATTAATGAAATGCGATGTAGCTTGGTGTCTGGACCAGCCATTTCAAGGCCTGAAGGGGGAACAGTAGAACCTTGAAATCCAATCTAAAATATAACTAATGTAAAGAATTATATGGATCTTGTGTGTCAGTCAGAGCTGTAGCTGCAGCACATTAGCAATTTTGAGAAGAGACATAAATATGCAGAGCAGCAAAAGTCTAAGCTACAGGAGAGGGTTGATTAACGATTGATTACTTTGTCAAGACCACTTAGCATCTGTGTGAGTCGAATAAATCATGGCAAATGATTGTAATTAAGGAATCCTGCATGTTGCAAGGTGATTAAGAAAGGAGGCTAGGCTATTGGTATCACTGTGTTTTAATGACAGCAGCTAGATGTGAAGGCAAAGAATATATTTGCAGACAATTTATTGAGAAGCCTGCACGTTTATAAGAAATTAGAGCCCAAATCTGACCCTTGAGCAACTGGTGATGGTTTCGAATGCTCTTCTGGGAAAACAGGAGCTGGACCACTGAAGGTATACGCCACTGTCAGTAATAGTTAAGCCATCCATGCACATTCTCTTGTTATGCTCTCAGTTAACTATAGCAATGAAGTTTCTTTTTCCAGCAATGTCAATAACTTGAAAGCCAATACTGTTCAAATCTTCAATAGGCTCCACAGCAATGAGCAGAGACATGAGAGAAGTGCTAAAGGTCTTTCAGGAATTAGAGAATTTGCTTGGAAATAGAAATGGTCTGGCATACTGAAACTGGATACGGTAATATAGGAATACTTCATAAACAACTTTGGTCTGATTCAGATGCAGTACACTGACAGCAAATCCAGGTGAAGGGTGTAATATGCCCCGTTAAATAGGAGGGTCTAATGAGCAGTTACAGAATCAACAATTTCTACAATACTTTATCCATGTCTGACACTCAACACGTATTGGTATGGTCTGGGAAGGCTGAGATCTGGACAGCTTCCCATTCTTTAGCTCAGTCCAAAGTGAGGACAGCAGCTGGGAATAGACCTTTGACGTTCTCCTCTGAATGGACAGCAGTGTTACTGACTCCAGCAGTCTCTCTCCAGCTTTCTTGCTCTGCAATGCTTTCAAAAGCGGAGACAATGATGTCACATCTCCACGATCAAAGAAGCCATCAATTCCAACACAAGGGCTTCTGGGATTCCCTCTGTGGAGACTGGTTGTGATCATGTCGACCAAGCAAACTGGTAGTTCTTGATTCCTTGACAACAGAGAATGCGCATGTGGACATTGTGTTTCCTGCTGGCTAAAGGGGACATTCTGTGAACCCCGTTGGCCAGAGTGGTGCTTCACCTCTCAGCATCTCTGGTCCTGCTGTTTGAATGGTAGCTGCTTGTAGTCTTATTCAAGTCCTCCACTGATGAACTTCTTCTCTGTGACTGCGTACCATCACCATGGTGTTGCTCTTTGCACGGAGCAGGTACTCCAGTATCTGAACCTTTACCATCTCAAACAACATGACTGAAGTAACGCATGTAGGGCTCCAATGGCCTGGGATCCTTGCATCGGCTGCCTGAACTGATCAGCCCCTTCTGGTATAAACTAATCATATGTACTGGGGCCCTTGGACAAACCAGTGTAATATATGCAATAGTTAAGACCTTTACTCCAATCTGTTCCACAGTCTACCATGTTCTTTCAGATGATGACCGACTGCAGTGTACCCTCAGCAACCCAAAGCCCCTTGTCTACATCTCTAGTCCAGTAATGAAACTGTGCCTCAGTTACTGACTGCCTCATTTGTGGCCTGTGGGGTCGTTGCGCTTAGCGGTTAGCACTGCCTGACTTAAGGACAGTCCTGAGCGCAGATTTTTGCTTTGGTTCTTTATGAAAACAGTTTGCATGTTGTGTCAGTGTTTGTGTGGGTTCCGCTAACACTCCAAACACAAGTCGTGTTATTGGAGAATCTGATGCCCCATTTACACATAGCCACCTAATGCGTCTTGGACAGAGAATTATCTCATATCAAAAAGTATAAGTAAGTATAAGCCAAGTGTAAATGCAACCAAGAAGCATTAAAGCTGGATTGAAGTCCACCATTTTAGCCAAATGTTGAAAAGGTAAAAAAGCGCTCATAGCCACATAGACCTTTACTCCTCTAAAAATGTAACTGCAGGGTTTGTCATTGTTGAATGATCTTTATTGTTCAGGTTTAACTCCACTAATTTCACACATCAAAGACCGTTTACAGGCGTTGAGGAGTACGACTACATGTGTGAAATAAGTTGTATAAAGTCTTTAGTGTCTCCAGGGTAAGCTGTGTGAAGTCATTAGCCATTACTAGCATAACACACCAGAATCCCAGACTGAACTGTCAGCTGTCAAGATGCATTATGGGTATTGTAGGAAAAAGGAAAGGAAATTTGGAAATTTTGATTTTGACACCTTTTTTTAAACTCCCCACTAATAACTAGTTATAAGAGTGCAGTACTAAATTGATGTTAATTTGTATCTAGACATCACAGCAAAAGAAATGGCATTGATGACATGTATGTGCTGCTCAATATCCCTAAGACTTACAAGTCCATATTAGATGATCTAGTACCTCACAATTTACGCCCAGGGCCAACATGCAGTGCCCTTTATGTAGAGAGCCGGAAAGTAGGGTTTCCTTCAATTAATGTTCACTTTAACCCCAGTCTTTCCCTAACATTTACCAATTTCTTTGGTTGCCTCGCCCTAGCTAACCACACCTTAGCCATGTTTGCCATGATGACAGTCTACCCCTACCCGTAAACATACCATAGTTTCCATGAGATGATATTGTACCATGAGAATTGCTTTAATTGTTGGCATTGGATGTAAATAACATTGTCACTCTGGGGTCTCACAGAATGGCGTTAAGATATAATACCCTTGCAAGTGTAAATAGAGATGTTCTGAGACCATTTTTTCATTCCCGAATTGGTTGGTACCAAGTACCAGTCTGTCTTTTAAAATAGCAAAAATACAGGCTTACCAGTATATGCATAATATTAATTATAATTATATATCATATATGTATGGCCTGGCTCAGGTAAACCCTGTAAACCTGTAAATGTCAGAGACTTGGCTACCCTGGGGGGGAAATGATGACCTGGACACTGCTGGGAAGTAACACGGTCCCATTTCAGGTATCAGATCAATGCACAGACACAAACAGGCAACAATATCAGGTTTTAGGCGGAAGAATTTCTGATACTGGATTTTCAGCAACTCTAAGTGTAAATGGGGCCTCAGTTACAGAAAAATAGTTGCCTGTTAGCCCTGAGAGAGACTGGCAACCTGTACAGCGCCCTTCCCTGTCATTCACCCATGGCATGCTGGGATAGGCTCCAGCCCCCAACCCACTGACGCTGAGTAGGACCCAGCTCGGTAAGAACAGATAGATGCAGAGTGTTTTACACAGGTCAGACATGTTTGACCACAGCTTAACTTTGACCCTCATTAACCATAAGCAGCCTGTGGGATGATCTGATAGTATTTTCTTAAGCAACAGTTGAATACACAGGTTCACTTTTTTATCATTTTCATTGGAACAACTGAGATGAACATCTCTAATGATATGTGATATCACCTTAATGGTGCTTTATTTGCGTGCTGGCTACAGAAATGATCACAGTGGGCTAACGGGGCACTACAGAAGCAACAGGAATACAGGATATCCTTGTCAGTAAATTTAGGATTGAGTTAGATTAGAATCAGATGTGTCTCTCTCTCCTGATAAAGTCACTACTGGCAGTCGGATCAGTAGTACTGCACTCATCATTGGCAGTGGTGAGGCCTTATCCACTCATCTGTACAACCAAGAGGACAAGGCTGTGATTATGTTGCATCTTTTTTTCTACAATCTTTTGTACTGTTATTTATACTGTATTGTATTTATAAGTAAAGGGAAGTCCTGAAGCTTTCCTTGAATGTTTTGTTTGTTTGCAGTTTTTTGATGTTGTGATAAGAAGCATCAGAGTTTGCCTTCACTTTTGAAGCCTTTGCGTTTTGATATGTATGTACATCTTTTCTAATATCCATAAGCTAGCTGGTTCTCTGTTGCTCAGTGCAGGAAATGTGCTACCGTGGTGTCTGTTTCTGTTTCCATTCAGCTCACAGTATTTCTCTTTATCTGTTCACTGCTTCCTGTGGTGGCCTCATCATCGTTTTATTATTGACCCTTCCTAAGTCCCGCCCCTTTTTGCTCCAATAACCGAGACTGAAGACAGTAACAATGGTTGGAAGGAGAGCAGGGCAACTGAGCCAGGTAATGAAGTCCATGTAAGTGATACAAGATATAACCGTAGTAAGAAATCTTTTAGCTGCTCTCAGTGTGGCAGCAGATTTGGTTTGAGGATAATTCTGAAAATACACCAGAGTTCATACCAGAGAGAACTCTCAAGCCTCGCTCGGCCTCGCTCAGAACGTCAGTCAGCTTTCTTCCTGTACCTAGCTGAAAGACAACCAAAATGAAGATGGTTAAAAGATCAGTGAGATAGCCTACATCTTAGGTTAGCTAATGTCAGCAAAACGTTAACTATTTATGTAAATTAGCTAGCTAGTTACCCAGCGTTTTGCATACATTAGCTTTCAGATGTAACTAGCTAGCTAACGACTCATGTAGATTAGTGAGCTAGTGTTTTTCTCTGTAGCAAAACGGCTAGCTAATGATTTATGTAGAACAGCTGGCTAGTTACATCTGCTAGCAAGTATTTTACTAACATTAGCTAATGTAAGATGCATAGCATATCTAGTGCAGTACAGGAATGGAGAAAGGTGTCTGAGGTTCTGACCGAGGCTTGCTCAACTGTTATTGGAGCGCAGAGCAAAAGGGGGCGGGACCTCAGATGGGTCAATTGAGTTTTTGTGAAGTTTTTATTTTATTATTTTCATGTCATACATTTCAGAGCCGTATGTATCCTGCTAGTAATCCGTGCTTTGGGCAACAAATGGCATGCATACAAATGAGAGATTTTTGTATGTGATTTGTTGAAAGTGTGAAGACAGTGTAAGGAAGTCTTGTTTTATTGGGCTGATACATTGTAGATGTTAAACACTGATATTTATTCTGGAAAAAGAATGGTTAAGAATACTCCCATAACACTGATATGTAAGTGCATCGATAGCAGCTATTATAGAAATATTTACGTAAGGGTTTGGATAAATAAAATCATGGGTTGTCTGCAGAAAGGTATGGTGGTGGCAAATTGTAGCAGCTGTTTTGTATTTGTGTCTTTTCAAGCTTTTTGTTTATTTTCATTTAAAAGGGAATTTAGCAGAGGGTGTGAATGACTGGGTGGAGCTTTGCTGGGAGGTGACACTGAAGCATGCATATTTTTTGTTTTGTTCCTAGTTTTTTGTGTGTAGATTATTATACACGTAATGTTGAGAGGTACAGTTTCGATTTGTCTGAGAACGGGTTGCTTAATACTCAGGCTGTGCTACCGCTCCACCACACAATACAAATGTTTATGAATCTCAATAAAATGGTCACTTTGTTACTGTGTTGCTATTGTGTGGATATATTGTACAGACTGAAACTAAAAAAGACGTACAATTTAAAAGTAATTAAATGATAGAAGTGATTAAATAAAAGTTAATTCTTGACCTTGGAGATAGCACTTTGAACAATTCTCATCATGGCCCAAATTGTCCACCAAAACCCACGTGGAGATTCACTGCTTTTTTCTTCTCTTTGTGGTTGTTTTTTGTCTTTTTTTATTTTTTCTGCATCTCTTTGTTTTGCTTAACACCTCTTTGTAGAAAGGATCCACGCTGGGCCTTACTCCTGATCCTCAGCAGAATTCATTTCAGGTGAACCTACAGTAAGTTACCTTAAAACAACATGCTGATTCATCACTGAGAAACAACACAAGGGCATTTCATAAAACAAATATTTCACAAGGAAAAAATATACTTCAACGGTGACAAAGAGAGATTGAAGTTATATTTCCAAATGTTTAAAAATGTAAACATGAGGGAAAATAAAATAGCATTAAATAAAACATCTTCCAGATAACTAATACTGTGATACACACTGACCAACGAGTGAATCTGTGGCAACCAAACTGCAACTTCACAGTTTCTCTCCTGTGTGGACTCTCACGTATCTCGTGACATTGGCCTGTGATCATTAATACCGACTTCAGTCTCAGAAGGACCTTTGTCTTGTTGTAGATGACTATATGGATCTTAGTCCCTGTCTGGTTCTGATCCTTTCAAAGTCCTGAGGTTTCTCCTCATCTTCACTCTTCACAAGGACAGGAATGTATGGGAACTTATTATTGTCCACCTCCTCCAGCCCTTGAAGTTGTTCTCCCTCCGGATGGGTCCAGAGATTCTCCTGTTTCTCTTTAATGCAGGATCTCTGGGTCTGCCTGATCCAGACTGGGACTCAACTCTGAGGTAACCTCTTCTTTAATCACTAACAGCCATTAGATATCTGCAGGGCACACAGACACATTAAGGACAACTCTAACTCTACATTGACATATATATTGCTAAATGTATGACAAAGATAGCATATTGGTAAATATTGCAGCTACTCTATTACTCTGTTATAAATAATGATGGGAAAACACAGTCGGGTGACTTCCAAACAGTCACTAACTGCTGCTGCGTTGCTAAGTTACCACTCTTAGCAGTTTAGCTTCAAACTAGTAAGTTCTTCAGTTCTAACTTCAGGAGCTGCGCGAGCTAACTGCTCCTGAGACGTGACTCAGATATAGTGTGATACATATAATAAAATAAATACAGCCGTTTGACACAAACTATGAGCTTTTGTTCCATCATATGAAAAAGACAACATGAAGCTAAATTAAACTTTAGGGCGTACAGGAACATGGCATTATATTAAGGCATACTATAAAACAAAATAATAAATATGGTTGTGTGTCTTTCTCTATGTGTGCACAATGGTTGGACAATCTTCTTTCAACAGCTTCATCATTTCACCATTCTGACATCAGCGTCCTGTATGGAATTACGTTGGGGCTTCATTTCTACAAATACAGTGGGACATTTAGTACAGAGAAGATTAATTGCATTTTGTGGAGAAATTAAATTTAAACCAGTAGCCTATATATATACAGGGGTTCCCAAACTCAAGGACCTCCACAGTAGATGCACATTAGGCCACAGACCCCCACTCACCAAAAAAATAAATAAAATAAGTGATCAAACTGGGATCACTATCAATTACAAACAATAAAAACGTCAAACACAAAACTCTTTCTGCCCTTGTAGTTTTGACTTCCCAAAATGTGATAAGTTAAAATGTGGTATTCCTCCTTTTTTGGGGGGATCCCTTACAATCCGCTCAAGGACCCCTGTTGGTCTCGGGACCTCAGTTTGAAACCACTGATCTATTATATGTGTAACAGATTTGTAACCTCTCTGACTCCCGCCCCCTGCAAGCCTCAGTCAAGTTAGGCTAGATACGACTGTTTGTAGGTTTCTGTGGGGTACTTGTGTATAAGGTTAGCTAAGCTAGCGTCTCTTGTAGAGTGTCAGGCTATGGCTACGTAGCAGGCCACAGTCTAAAGACTCGAGACTTTAACTACTGTAAAAACTATTAACTATTAAGCTGGGTTTCAAACAATTGCTATGCATTTTTATAGCAAAATATGTAGAATTCTACGGAAGCGTATTGCATTCACTTGAAAATTACTTTTTTGGTTTGTTTTTCGGAGTAATTATTTCTGTTTTTCTGAGTAGTATTTTTTGTTTGTTTTTCTGAGTCATTTTTCAGAGTAATTTATTTTTATGGTTGGTTTTTCAGAGTCATTTTTTTCTGATTTTCTGAAAAAACATTTTTTTTCTGTTTTTCTGACTAATTTTTTCTGAGTTTTGAAACAATAGACGCATTCATTCCTTTATTGAGAGCTCGATTTAACAGAAACAAACATAACCAGCTTGTTTAGTTCAATCAAGTTTTACTTTGATCTGGGTTTAAGACACTGGGAGATAGTCCTGTCTTTAAGTCATATAGATGGTATTATCATTAGCTTGTCGACTCTATGCAGGCACCTGAGGACTTTGTGGTTGTTCAGAAGGAAAGCCCATTCAGAACTGCTAGACATAGCAATATATATATAGCAAAATTGACCCGGTACGGTAGATAGTTGAAGATGGGGCATGCATGTGCGTAGGAGTCACAATAGGTCCATGAGAGTCACTTGCAGGTTGGAGGTTCTCGCGGGAGTTCGAAGTATCTCGATAATTCAGAAAAAAAAAAAAGATGTGCAATACACTTCCGTAAGAATTCAAATACTTTGCACTAAAATTTCCAGATTTGAACTTGAATCAACCAACAGCAATAGTAAATACCCATTAACAGAGGTTTCTGGGGTCCCTATAGTCTCTAAAAGTAGAACAGGAGCCAGAGCCTTCAGTTACCAAGCTCCTCTCCTGTGGAACCAGCTTCCAGTTGTGGTTCTGGAGGCAGACACCCTCACCACATTCAAGAGTAGGCTTAAGACATTCCTCTTTGATAAAGCTTATAGTTAGGGCTGGGTCAGGTGAGTCCTGAACCATCCCTTAGTTATGCTGCTATAGGCCTAGACTATCGGGGGATTTCCCATGGTGCACTGAGCTCCTCTCTTCCTCTCTCTTTCTGCACTCATTCATGTTCCATTAATGCATGTTACTAACTTCACTTCTTCCCCGGAGTTCTTGTGCTTTCTCGTCTTGCAGGTTCTTATGGATCCTGCTAGATTGCCATTGCTAATATCACTGATATTATTGTTATTATTATTATTATTATTATTATTATTATTATTATTATTATTATTATCATTATTATTATTATTACTACAGTTACTATTATTAGTATTGTCACTGCTCATTGTCCCCCATCGTTGCTGTCGTCGTCGTCATCATCTTCTTCATGTTCATCATCATCAGTCGCTATTATTAGTGTAGTTGTTGCTACTGTTGTTGCTGTGCTACTGTCTGTCTGTCTCTCTCTCTCTCTGTCTCTCTTTCTCTCTCTCTCTCTCACTCTCTCTCTCTCACCCCAACTGGTCGAGACAGACGACCACCCACCTAGAGCCGAAGGATCTGTCCTAGGTTTCTGCCTTTTAACAGGCAGTTTTTCCTTGCCCTTGTCGCCAAGGTCTTGCTCATGGTGGTACTGTTGGGTCTCTGTAAATAATGTTATAAAGAGTTCGGTCTAGACCTGCTCTATTTGAAAAGTGTCCTGAGATAACTTCTGTTATGAATTGGTGCTATACAAATAAAATTGAAGTGAATTGAATTGAATTGAATATAAAACAAGACTAATGCCGTGTCTAAAATCACAGTGGTCTTCATCATCACCATCACTGTTTACATTTATGATGTCCTATTTATTCTCCTGTACAGCACTTTGGTCAACTTTGGTTGTTTTTAAAGTGCTTAACAAATAAAGTTGGATTTGGATATACAGAGCACTGATTTACTATCTGTCATTTTATTGTGTGTAAATCTATCCACTATACAGTGCCCTCAACAATTCCAGAGTACAGGGTACAAGATTATGTACGTAATATCTTTTTTTTACTTGCCCAGTCGGGCAAATGGATGAGGAATCTACTGGCCGGACGTTTATTTTTACTTGCCCCTATACAAATAGTTTTATTTATTAGCAGTAATCAGACACTATAGCTGCGTGCAAGCAAGATGCTGTCAGCTCTTATTATGGCCTTCCAGCACAACGCCTCCCAACTAAACTCCTGTTTCCAGGATCATTGAAATGCTAACTTGCACTTCAGCTCATAAACTTTACCATTGCCATTCTCTCCTTCTGTCCGACTGACACACTCAAAAGGATTTGAATTGAATTGAATTGAATAGTTACTATTAAATAAATTATGAAGAAAAAAAAAATCTGTAATTTAAAAAAAGGAAATTATTTGACACAATATTTGTTTATTGCATGTTTATACAATTTATTCATGTGACTTTTCTTTATACTATTTCATTGTTGAATTTTTTTAATCTAGGACATTTTGGGACTCCATAATTTCGAACTCGCACCAAGTGCAACGCTCCACTCTCGCTCCATGTAATTGGCCAGTCCGCCTGTCAATCAACACCGGCTCCCATGGTAACCGAAAGCTCAGCAGCAGTTGGGTTTGTCAGTGAGGAGCAAGTTCCGACCGCTCACAACTGAACAACCCAGCACGGACTGATCCCTTCAAAATGAGCTTGTCAGTCGCGTTATTTGAGTCAATATTAAACTATCCGGATGCTGGACACTGATATCTTTCCGTCGCACGAATGTCCTTTTGAACTTGTCTCTCAGCTGTGTTGTTTAATATCAGCGTGCTGCTGTTTGTAGAAGTTTTCAGGACTCTTTCGCTCACTGACCGCTCCGATAAAGCGACGCCATGATCCCCGAATGTCCCCGCGCCGGGGAGAGAAGCCGAACCCGCTTCCAGCACAGCAGCCCTGCAGCCGAACCGAGCCCGGGCCGCGGCGGCAGCGGCTTGTTGTCCGCAATTAAAACCACGGTCAACAACGAACCGTTCACCGACCACTACACCATCATCCCCGGCAAAGAGCTGGGAAGGTAAGACCAACTAAATCCAACTATTGTCGCCAGAATTGTTGCATGCCCAGGGAGGGAGGGTTACCTTCACAATGTAGTCTAATCCAGTGTTATCCATTACATTATTAAAGTAATGTAACTTCATTACCTTCCGTTACTTTTGGACAACCTCAACACCAAATATGCAAATAAAGACAAGAGAAAATAAAGTACTATACTTAGTAATGACAGTATAATAAGTACTGATGTGAGTGTATTCTATAATCTGAATCAGGTTTATTGCCAACTAGGTGTTCACATACAAGGACCTTGCCTTTGTAACATAACAGTTAACATAGAAACATATAGTTAAAGATAAAATAGAGACAATAAAAGAAGGCAATATATACTAATATAAACAGAGAGAATATGTTCAGTATGGCCGGATGCTGAATGTAAGAGTGAAGAGCTGTACAGGAATGTGCTAACATTGTCTGTGACTTTAAAATGATATTAAAATGGAAAATGGAAACCAAGCTGTTTAGCATCAGAAATGTGACCTCTGTATTTTGAAAGAAAAATGTATGTATTTTAAAATTATAATCCTGCTAAAAATTCACATTTTTACTAAATATAACTGTAATCTGATTACATGGTTGTTGTTTACTCAGCAGCTCATTCACGGTGACTGCTTTGACTTAAAGTAACTATCTACTGCTACCACCCACAATACATCGATACTGACTTTAAAAAGTAATATCAGCATCAATAACATGTTACTTTTACTCCTCATGTTAATAGTCATTCTGGAATAGGCATGTGATCACCTTTTCCAGGCGTGTCGGTGTGAGCGAATACAACTTAGACATTAGAGGGTGAATGAAAGTATTGTCATCAGATCAAAAGACATATTAGTCAGTTTCTCTCTGGCTCTTGGAAAGGCAAATCCAGTTTGATTCCAGAGATCTGGCAGCTGCGTGCCCGTTAAACAGCTAATGTTTCACAGGATTTCTTCAGGGTTAATTATTAGAGGAAATGCCCGGGGATATAGCCTCCAACAAAGTCACAATCCCTTTTTGATTAGAATATGCTTTTACCACGACTAATCACCCAGTGAATGACTGGAGTCACATTGTGAGTGTGAAGTGGTTCCCAGTCAGCTTTTTGACATTGTGCCTGAGTGCGTTGACCCAGGTACACGCTTGGAGATAAGAGCTGAGTTTAGACTCGGCTGAATCACTTATTTCAGCCGACCGTCTCCTGCTATACAGCAGTATTAGCTATATTGAGTCCTAGAGGGCCACAACAAAGGCTGTGTGTGTGTGTGTGTGTGTGTGGCTTTGCATCGCATGACCTGACATTGTGACAGAGATTAGTTTCCAGAGAACACCATGAAAGGTTACATTAATCTGCATCTACTACTCTGATCTGCAGCATTGTGCTCAGCAGATCAGCTGACAGTAGTTCATGTGGTCAAGTTCATGTACACACCAAGGTGTTACACTGGACCCGACGCGTTGTCTTATTGTGTTGTGCTCGTAACTGTGGAGATGGTTAGGATCTCTCTCTTTTACAGTATATCATAAAAGTCTTTTATTTATCATCGGATATTTCCAAACTTTCATTCCATATACTTTAAGTCTATGTGTTCTATCATTTTGTTTCCTGGTAAGTCATTTTGTTTAATGCACAAATTTTAAATGTTGCATATCAGCTTCATTTCTTGCATTTGCATTGGGACCAGTCTATATTGGTAGAAGTGTAAACTTTTAGAACTTTTAAAGGATAGGTTCACAACAATAGTCAGGTGGCTTTTAAGTATAAGATTCCTGCAGAATGCTCCTCATACCATCTTCAGATAAACGTGGCATTTTGCACAAAATGAGGACTGGATTTTGATCATGACCTCATGACTTGCATTGGAGGTGCATTAGGAAGGGCTCTTTTATTAGCCATAAACAGGAAGAATGAGCAGTGTTCATATGGGCACCAGACTAATGTTTTAAGACAGACATTGTGACCCATCCTGTCAAGCTGTGCATACACTGTATGATTTGAGCCTGTTTCTGACCCAGTTTCTCAGCCACATGACTTTAGAGTCAGACTGAATTTTGTCTTCATCAAGCGCCGTTTGCTGTCCAGTGTAGTGGGGGGAACGAGGGCACGGGCCCATAGCACTGTCAGGGGCTGTGTTCAAAATCACATTGTAACGTACTATTCATGCTATATAAGTAGGGCGTCAAGATTTTTTTGAGAAATGCCTGGATATATACTAGATTAGCAAGAATATGGCATCAGCTTATTGCACAACCACCCCATAATGCATTGTGTTTCTTCTAACTGTGTCAATAGTGGAGTGCAAAGCAGATGTTTTTTTGCCATATTTCTACTATTTTATTATTAGTTAATCACAAAATTAACATTTGAGAAAATTTGAATGGATAAATCCACTGTGTGGGTTATAAATATCGACAGTTTTTTACAAACAATGATGGTGATTTGAGAAAGTGCTCAAACTTTAAAGTGTAGCTGACACTCCATCCAGCTGACTGTCATTCACACATACTGATGACTTTTTCCGATACAGAGTTGTGTTTTTTCTTCCACAAAATCATCTTTGGCTGAGTGTAAATGTACAGTCACCAACACGCAGAGTGAGGAAATTAACCAGGCTACAAGCTACAGATTCTTTTTTCTTGTTCAGCCAACTCACAGAATAGCGTTGCGTTGTGTTCCAAATGAATACTGAATAATGAACTACTGGCTTCAGCTACAGCTTCTCTCTCTTGTGGGGGTAATATAGAGCTGCTACAGAAAAGACTGGAATCAAATCAAACCAAACCAGTTTGGGATCTAGTCCACCTTGGAGCTCCCAGCTCAGATGAGTGTTTTTCCCCTTCAGTCAAAGAATCGCTGGCTGTTGTTTTCAGCAGGGACATTGTTCTGGTGCTTAATCAGTGTAATAACAGATGAAGGGGATGCCGTTCTTTGGCTGTACAAGTTGTGTTTATTCCCTGGCTGACTCTTGGCCAGTTCGCTGGTTGAGCCCTCTGAACTCGGCGGTGGAATTCCATTCATGAGGCATTTTCAGATTAAAACCTCTTCCTTAAACGGGGCTTTGTCTTAAGTTTGTACCTGGACCCCCCTGGACATCATAAAACTTACAAAAAGACATTTGGGGCCAGCTGGACATTACTTCATTCACTACTACATTATTTTCATAATCATTTTGAGAGAATTCAGCTTCAGCATAAGGTTATCGTTAGGGTTAGGGTTGAAATTGAATCTGCTCTTTTTCTGTCACATTATTCCACTCTGTGGTGTGTGTCTGCTGGTGTAATTAACAGCTGTACAGCAGAGCCTGAGTCTGAAGCAGGATCATGAAACAAGCATGCAGAACATTCTGCCATGCTTGTTCTAGCGTTCTAGCAGCGTTTGTGTTTATGAAGTGTGAAGTGCACGGTGAGCAATTTCTGGACTGAGATGTGGATAGATGCCACCAAGTTCACGTCTCCTTGCCTAGTTGCCCTCCCAGCATTCCTGCTCTGTAGGAAATCTCCCAGCATATGTAGACAGGACCACAGATTTTCCAGCCTTCTCAAAGGAAAGGAGAATATTACAGCTCCAGGCATACCGCAAGTTTGTACATACACTTCCTCTGATCAGTGGTTTTCCTCCATCACTGAGTGTAAAAAGAAGATTTCAGGAGAAAGGAGAAATATACTAATGCTCTGAGCATTTTTCACCGTTCTGAAACAGCAGTTAGTCGTTAGTCATTGCGCAGTGATAGCACAGCCCACAGGACTGGTCTGTCTGGGGCTACAAAACATATATGAGGTTTATAATGCAAATGTGTCCCTGCAGATTAAGCATACTGGTAAGCCTTCAGCGTAGGTGGTGAAAGCAAGGAATCTGTCCACACAGGTTGCCTGCCTATGGGTTAGGGTGAGAACATTGGGGTAAGACAGTCAGAGTCAGAGTAGGGCGGGTCATGACTTTGCCATCCTGGGGAAAAAAAGTGGTAAATGGGACCCTGCTGGGAAAGTGGCAGTGTCCTGTTTTGGGGCCAATAACTTCTGTGATATCAGATTACTTGCGTACTCTCCGATACCAGATCCACCATTTTAGGCTGTATACTGATAGTCTGCAGAATGTCATAAAACGTGTGACATCTTCAAAGTTCCTATTTAGTCCGACCGACAGCCCCAGACCCAGTTTTCATTTTAGAGAAAAGCTGGAACTGAGAATGTTGGTATTCAATCAGTCACTCACCAATATTCATCCCTTATTTTTCTGTCCATCAACTAATTCATGCATCACGGGGAAATCATTTGTTCATGTGTTATGCTGTTGCGTGTCAGTACCCAGGCTTCTTGTTGCTGTTGGTGGTGGTTGTTAGAAGCTGTGATATCTGAGATTTGAGAGTTATCTGCTGAAAACCCCCATTACATTCATAAGCTACAGTGTGTGCTGTTGAAACAATAATGAAACTGGATATTGTAAAAAAGGATGATAAGAATTCCTTCCTGCATTACAACGGTTGCTGTTTGACCCCCACTAGTTGGCTACTTTTCACATTTAGGGCTTGAGGGAGGCTGAGGATCGGGGGGGGTTTAAAGTAATACCTTCTATTGCGTCTCTGCAGTGGGAGTCCCAGATGGCCCGCAGCCAAGCTCCTTTAGTGACTACGACAATGGTGCAGCAGTCTTTGAATTCCATATGGTTAAGACCCAAAGCTTTTTCCACGATGGGTCTTAGTGACGGTAATGGCCACTCTCTTATTAGCCCATATGGTGCTGGGCAGAGCTCTTAGTGATTGCACATAACCGCCCTTGTCATCTGGCGGGGATATTTCACTAAGAGCCCATCATCATGGCTATGGTTACAGTTACTGCATTTTTCAAGCTAACTTCGCTTGACATTTTCATTATTTTTATTTTTGACTTATTCCTTATCAGATGCGAAGAATGTCTATTACGTTCTGTTTTGTTCTTTTCAAGGAGATAAATCAACTCTGAACTGAAAAAGAAACCTCTGCTGTA